GGCGTCAATCAACTGACGTTGAAAATGAAGAGCTTGGAAGGGGCGAAATGGTTAAAGTGCGTTGGTAATTGAATCATGTAATTTTATGAAGTCATGGTCGAAACTATATTTACGGTTGTCGTTATTTGTCAGGTGGGTGAGTAATGTGGTGAGATGGTCGGTGGTTTTGTTGACTGCATAGGACATGTCGTTTTCCTCCTTACCTGAAGGTGGGACTGGAGTCATGGATTGATCTTTGATGTACTTCATAAAGTGGATCAATAATGCTTTACATATTTCGCCGCCTCTTTCGTGTCGTTTTGAACGGGGATCTGATAAAGTGTTTCATGGTTAATTTTCAACCTTGCAAACAAACCTAACGCCGTTTGCCGAGTCGATATCCATGATATTCCCAATGGCGGATTTTTGCTCGGTTACTAATTTGTGCAGGGCTGTTATGTCCGCTTCATGTTGTTTGCAGAAAAGTTTTTGGATTTCGGTGGTGACTTTTTCGAAGGCTTTTTTTACTTCATCAAGGAGCTTTTTTGGAGGTTGGATAGCGCATTGCGGGCGTTTTTACGAGCTTCATTGTACGCGTTAACTAGTTCACTGATGACCATTGTCAATGCATCAGCGGTTTCCTTAACTATTTGATCAATGTAATTAATCCGATCGCGAACACCTTCAATGTCATTTTTCAATTTCACCATGAGTTCATCTATGTCTGCCTTCTTTTCCACAGCAAATTGCGGAGTCTTTTCAAGCGTCGTTATTATGTCAAGAGCAGACTTTATGACGTCCATAATGGCTTTATTGGCCACGGCGTAGCCATTAATCGCAGAGGTTACTACCTGATAGCCACCTGTATCGAACGCCTTTAGCGTTTCGCCAAAGGCTTGTTTAATATGAGACCATTTGTTATTAACTTGAAATAATTTGTGGTCTACGTAATTTTCATGTGCGTTCCAAACGTCGTACTTTTCTCACCGTCAATATCCTTCAAGGCTTCTCTCACCGAGTCGTTAATGCCGGATATAATCGTATCGGCAAACGTTGCAGCGCTGTTATTCGGACTACCTGTAATAGTAAATTTAGCTTCCATTGCTTTGAAACATTCCTTCAAATTATCGAGATCCATGGGTGTTGTGAATTGGTCGGTGTCCTCGTTGTAGCGTTTTTTGCTGGGCAGCTTGAGCCAACTTTTTGAGGGATTCAATCTTAACGTTATTTAGACGGTCATTTGCACCACCACTTGCCGATGAAGCCTGTCCGATTGTCTCAACGTCAGTCTTTAACTTCGAAAATAAACCTTGAATCGCATCATTAACTGTCGTATCCCTGAGTTTCTTCAAGTCTTCTTTAATCTTGTCAGTAAATTTATTCACTTGCGTCTTAGTTAAATCAACCAATCCATCCACCTTTGCTTTAATATTTTTCAACTCCGCATGATATACACGTTCCAACTCAATAACCTTATTGGTCAGTGAATTAACTTCCTGGTTAAGTCGCGACTTGCCATCTTTCGCGCCAACTGCATACTCATCTTTATTAACATCTCTAAGTTTAGACGCTATTTCGTTAAGTCGATTGCCGATCTCATACTTATACGTTCAAACTTCGCTAATAAATTATTTATATGCAGCTTCGCGGGATTCACTGCATTCCTAATATGGGCAAACTGCTCATTCCTCTTATCGTTCATTCTGGTAATACCTTTCCAGATCTTTCCGAATCCATCATCTAGCCACATTTGAAGCACTTCACATTCCTCTATTATGCTCTTCTCACAGCGTTCCCGCTGTTTCAACCAGCATCTGATCCACGCCTGTAACCTGCAGCCTGAAGACCTCATCATTGGCAGAATCAGTCAACATCTTAACTGCCGTGCTAACGGGCTTCATTTCTACTTCTATTCTACCTCTAAGTGCGCTATCTAATTTATCAATTTCTATTTGTACACTGTCTCTAAGTGCGCTAGAAATGCTACTAAGTGTCCCCTCCACGCCGCCAGTTGCTGGGCAAGTGGCTGCTCGGCTTCCCTCTCCACGGCTTGATAAAACGCATTTTCATTTCCACCTGCACCAGATGATAATTTAGTAATTAACTTACCTAATTCCGCAGTAACTCTTCCAGTCAATGTCTCCACCTGCACCGCATGTTTTTCAACCACCCACTTACCTCAGACACGGCGGCAAGGCCTTACGGCCTTTACCTACAGAAGTGTTAGAGTGTTAATAACATCATTAATTTTTGGGATCATTATTATCATAAGTTGTAACGTTATCATCATCTTTTACACTCTCCAACACCCCGTGCAAGAACGCCATCACCCTCGCAGAGCCTGTCAAGGTCCGAGTACACGATGCCCTCTCCGGTGTAATTACCATCCTGGTAGCCGAGAAATTTTTCGAGGCCTGCAAAGACTCTCTAAAAGTTTTTACAACTTTGATCGGTAACATTATTTTTTGGATTTTCTCAGCATATTCACAAAGCCCTTTCAGTGTCTCAAGAGACTTCTTGGAATTATGAGACTGAAGATCCTTATTAAGCTTGTCAATTTCAGAGGCATTTTTACTTTTATTATCATTATTAAGCCTTTTAAGCTCTTCAATTCTTTGATTAAGCTCCTGAATTTTTTGGTTAATTGGCTCTTGAAGCTTATTGAAGGATCATCATGGACATTTAAATTGCACGCAGAAAGGATGTCAACAAGTTTTTTAGAGGTTTTTGTTTCATCTTTAAGGTGTTTTTTAAGCTTCTCATTGAATTCATTAAGGTTATTAATTGCCTCACCAGCATCCTTACACACCCCTCACCTCCGCAAGATGTTTTTAAAAGCTTTTCAAGCTGATTTACATTACTTTGCAAACCATTTACAAGTGCATCTTTAACTTCTCCTCCACCAATAAAACCCAAAGCTGTCCGGCAAGCTTACAAGAAGATGCGGCGGGTATCAATATCCTTCAAAACTTTCCCCTGCATCATCAGTAAGGTAATGAACTTCATTGTAATGGTCATTGTAGTTGGATTGAAGGTGGATTAAGGAGAGTTAAAAGGATAAAGAGGATGAAATGGATTATTTTGAGGGCGATTTGGAGTTTGGAGAAAGGCGATTTTAGGTGACGGAGGCAGTGAGGGAGGTGGGTGGACAGGGTGATGGAAGTGAAGAGGCGAAAGAAAGAGAAGAAAAGAATGGGTTGAAGTAAAACGATTCAGAGGTAGAGGAAAATGGAAAATGAAATTTTAAGTGAAAAGAACATAAACGGAAGAGAATGAAAAGTGAGAGAAACAGCAAAGTGATAAATGTGGTGAAGTAGGTAGGTGAATTGAGTAGTGGTTAGTAAATGGATAGGTAAGTGAAGTGATGAAATTAGGTAGGTAAGTAGATTAAGTGAAATGGTTGAAGTGAGTGGAGTAGTTGAAATTAGGTGGTGAGTAGTAGTTAGGTAGAGTGATGGAGTGGTTGAGTGGGTGAAGTGGTTGAGTGGGTGAGTAGGTGAGTTGAGTGTAATGGGTGAGTGTGTGGGTGAGTGTGTGAGTGGGTGAGTGGGTGAGTGGGTGATACACAGATCACACGTGAAAGGCACGATATGGTGAAATACCGACGTTGGCTATTTCCCAACGCGTGCGGCGGCGAGGAGGACTGCGCGGCGATGCGGTGGCTTGAGTGATCTCAGGTGGGAGCGTATCCTCAGGACGTCGAGGCGGACGACGGCGATGTGCAGCAGGTAGAGAACAAGAGAGGGACCAAGGGATAATAAGAGGGTAGGAGAAGGGGTTGTCGTATAGTCCATATATATTCGGGTATTGTTTCATGTATTAACTTGCGATTAGTGATTTGCCGCCGCATACTTTTCAGTTGCTCGATGAAATCTCCACATGTTCGTTTCAAATGCTTTCCGAGTCGACCTCCGATTTTCGTACCATTGCCAAATACTATCCCTTCTGTGTAAAATGCAGGAAGGTGTGAGGCATTGAATTATTGACCGGCAAGATGACGAGTGCGTCGACGATTTCAACATTTGGCAGTCATTTGCGCACCCTTCAATACGGCACTTTGATTCATTCGTACCGCAATTTCTTCACATTTCGACAATAGCCTACAGAGGTAATCATAGAATGTCTCGGTCAGGTAGACAATCCATGAGAGGTATTTTTCAGCGTGTTCCTTAGAATATATGCAGCGCGTATTATAGCTAAGGGGTGTATGTATGAACCGCAGGGAGAGATGGCGATGATTTCTTTATTATCGAAGAAATATCGCCATGTGGATGGTTGTCAGCCTTATGCGTAGCGCTGTCGCATATGAATTTAGGGTTAAACTTATTGTACTGGCGGCAGAAATAAGCGTTTTCAACAGCTGCTTGAAAGGCCTCTTGCCTGTGTTCACCACTGCCTTCCACCCGTTGAGAAGACTGTGATAGAACGCAAGCATTTCGTCGAGTGTTTGAGGCGGTCTCTGCAGTAAACATGTCAGATAACTGCATAGCTTGGCAAGAGGCCTATCCGATTTACTACAAAATCTAGACAACACTTTCATTAGATGCTGGCCTCTCATTGTATGAGATGCCACTGTGAAATGTCTCCGAAACCCATCGGCGTGAGACACGGCTTACCGAAGTGGTTGGGAGGGAACAAGTCATGTTGCAATCGGCCTTGTTGTATGTATGAGGAAGGAAGCCTTTCCATCCTCCAAGAAGGATTGAAGCGGTGATTTAAGGCCGCACTTGTAATGCTGGTCGGCCTTTTGGTCAGGTCTTGTTTGGGGCATTGTTTGTCATTGCACCGCCATGATGAACCACCGACGTGCTTACCATACCAGCAGTCCAGCCAACCACTACTGCTTTTACCGTTACAGCACTGATTGTACAGGAAGTAGAGTTGGCGATTCAGTCTCATACAAATTTCTATGAGCCAATCTAAGCATTCACCTGCGTTGGTGGGATAGGAAAGATCGTCGGGGTTTGTGTTAAAGTCGCAAGAATATCGGCCGTTGGCATCCCATAGCCCAGGATTGTGATTAATACTTTTCCGCGTGGGAACAGACTTTGTAGAGTTCAGTCGACAAATCATAAGGTTGGATATTTGAAGTGCCTTCTACCTTGAGTGCGTAATCGGAATTGCGGAATAATCGGTATTTTCATACTGCTTTGGTTTACGGAATAATGTCTTAAAGTATTGCTCGACATTGCCAAGCACCGGATTGTGCCACAGCCGCATAGCCAATGGAGCATATCCCTAACTGTGAAAGGATATTTAGTTGAGGAGATATATTGCAAGTGGCACGTTTTATAATAATCATGAAGATGCTTGAGAAGTTTGTACACCGGGCTTTGGTCCCCGGACTTATCATCATCGGGGTCTTGGCGGCTAAAGACTCTACCATGTCCTACAAGTAGCTGGAAAATATGACTACCCATCATCGTAGGTTTGTTGTTCAACTCTGCATTACTGGCATCAGGTAGCGACGCAACACGGAAACCGCAACGCTTGAGGAAATGGCCAAGGGGTTTGTATCAGTTTTGTGGGCCCTGATGTACTGAATGTCAACAAATTGTTTAAGTCAATTTTTTTCTTCTCACAATTCCCTCCGGTTTTGCAATCCTCACGTAACTGAGACAGTTCGTTATATAGGTGCTAATTATACTACAAAATACATTGGAGCATTTTATTGCGTTTTCTGTTAGTTCATCATCGTCCAATGCCAAAGCATCGGGAAGCTTGGTGTTTTCCACTTTACGGTCTGCTCAGAGTATGCATTGACGTAGGCGTACTGCAGCTGTTCGACCAAGGCCTTCATGCCATCCATGAGTAGATCAAAGAGCAAGGGATTCTTGCCATTTTCAAATCTCGATGGATTAAACGTGCTAAGTGATTTGTTAAGTGCATCTAAACTTTTAGAAAAGGTGTTGTCGAAATTATATTTTCTATTATTATCGTTGGGTTTCTTAAGGTAGTTGAGCAGTTCGTCGAATCTTTGACTAATGCCTCTACGTCTCCCAAATGAGAGTCCGCGGGTTTATCTGGCGGAGACATTTGTTCAATAACATAATCTAGACATAACCCCAGTGCTTTCTGAGCTCCGGTCGCCATATTTTTGAAAGTGATATTTTTAATCAACTCTTCCGAGTTGGACGGAAGACTAAATTGGTCATCAATCCCTTCCTTCATCTTCCCAAGAAACCCTTCACCCCTGTTTTTTTATCCTCCGCGATAACCCTCTGAATCTCCCTCAACTGCGCCGTGACGACGTTCTGCAGCTGCGCGAGCTCGGCCTGCTTCTGCTTCGCGAAGAGGGATTGGACTTGGTGGGTGAGGGTGGAGAAGGCTTCGCGAACGACATTAGTTAGTTGGTTATGCAGTTGGTTGATGGTGTGTCTGGATTTTTGTTCGGCGTCGTTATAGGCCATGCTAATATTGTTAATATCTTCTGTCAACTGATAGTCGGCACTCTCAACAACTTCCTCAACTTTGTCAATTCTTGTTTCAATGCCCTTGATTTCACCTTTCAATAACTCCATTCTCTTCTCTGCCTTTCTAGCATCTTCAATAGCGCCAGGAGGGATTCAAGATTATTGATGTTATTTACAACTTTTTGCAATGCCCGGTAGTAATTGGACTTGACGCCTTCATTGTCGTGTGATCTGACTTGCTTGTGCGTGTAACCATCCATCTCCACAGGTTTGAAGCCTGCTGTGACTCCATCGCCAGTGAAACCGTCTTTGGAAACGGGTACCTTAATCAGATTAATCAGGCCTCTAAGCCTAACGTGTTCTCCATGCTCTGCATCTCCTCTCCTGTAATAGGCATTCATGAGAGTAGTTAAGTCTATTAGACTAATTTCATCTTTTATAACATCCTTAAGTTGATTTTCTAAGGCAGCCTTTATGTCTCCACCAAGTTGCTCGAATAAAACATCACCAGTTGGGGTGCCACTTTTATCATCTTTCACAAGATTAAGATCACTTAACACCGTTTGAATTTTTTTGGCAAGTTCAGGATTATCATGAGCCACCTCTCTAAATCTGGTTTCTAAGTCATTCAACTTAGCAGTTTGAAAACCTGTTTCCAAACCCGTAACACCTTTAGTGGGTGAATAAGTGTCACCAACCGCAGCTCTCTGCATACCCAATTCCACCGCAGTCCACACATGCTGAAGGAATCCTTGCAGCTGTATCTTAATTTGCTCACGAACATGCTTCAACCCATTTTTTAACTGCAGTATCCACAGTTTGAAGAGGCTCACAGCCTGGTTTACCGCCAAATCAACTTTCATTTTAACGTCTCTCAATTTTTTCTGGTATGCAATCTCAATCTCCTCAACGGCCTGCTTAACAGCATTAACTTCCTTTTCAAGTTGGCACTGCGTTCCTGGGTTTGGATCAACTTTCAGCGCCGCGGCACTTAGTTTCAAGCTTTCGAACTTTGCAATGATATAATCTCTATATTGATCGTTGAATTTTTTTGCATCTTTTGCAAGCAGCTCACTGACCAACATCTTTGCGTCTTTAATGCTTTCATTGACCGACGTGAATTGCTCATCTTTCTTTTGATACAAGCTTTCAAGTTTTTGTTTAATTCCATCAAACCCACTATTTAACGTCTTTTGTACATCTGTAATGCCTTGCTCTATCGCTGTGTCAATATTCTGTTTTGGCTCTTCAACCCATCGTCCACCGCCTGGCCGCCTTAATTACCTCAGGGTTGAACGCAATCTTCTTGAAAGTGTCCGCCGCATGCACACCCAATGAGACATGCTTATCTAACTTACCTGAAAGCGCGGGATCCAAAGCCTTCCTGGCCTCTTCGGCCAACGAAGCCTTCACCCAGTAGAGTCTTGATTTTTCTTGCACCTGTTGTAATTGCGCCTGCAAATTTTTATTATTCGTATTCTCTAAATACTCTCTTAAACTTGTGAAATTACTCTGTATGGTTGTCACATCCTCTACAACCTTCTTACTTTTACTCGTCATCCCACTTTCATACCCCTCCAGCCCCTGACGAACACTCTCAATGGCCTCGGCAAATCCCTTGACACCAGATCCCTTACCTGTTACAGCACTTAACTCACTAATGATACTGGGAATCTTAGGATTATAAAACGTTAACAAGCCTTCACTGCCTTTAAGGCAATGGAGGAGGAAAGACATCACCCCGTCACACAGCCTGTCAAGGTCGGAGTACACGATTCCTTCTCCGGTGTAATTACCATTCTCGTAGCCGAGAAATTTTTCGAGGCCTTCAGTAAGATTCTCTAAAATATCTTTTGGAGTTTTATCTTTTTTAGCGTCAACATCCTTACAATGTTGACAAAGCTTTCCAAGATTTTCAAGAGACCCCAACGAAGCCTCATGAGACTTCAATTTAGCCTGCGCAGTTTCAAGCTGACTAGAAAGATGGGAGGGAATGGAGATATTTTTATTAGCATTTTTAAGCTGCTCATTCTTTTTATGCTGCTCAATTTCCTTTTTATGCGCATCAATTTTGTCATTAAGGCTGTTAATGTATTCACTAATTTTGTCTTTAGGATCATTTAAAGCACTTTTAAGCTGCGTAATTTGCTCTTCAACAAGCTTTTTTTGCTCTTCAAGTTCCTTATTTTTTGCATCAATTTTCTTCTGAATCTCACGATCACTGCCGGACGGCGTCCCTTCGGACGCCTTACCTTTTTCATCTTTCTGCTTTTTAAGGCTATTAATTTTTGTTTCAATTTCATCAACTTCATTAAATTGCTTTTGAAGATTTTTAAGGCCATCACGGAATTTCTTATCATAACAATCACACCCCTTATCTCCGCAAGATGTTTCCAAAAGCTTAATAAGCTGATTTACATTACTGTGCAAACCATATAAAATTGCTTTTTGTACATCTTCACTACTGCCAATAAATCCACCAAGCTGTCCGGCAAGCTGACCAAGAGAGATGCGTCTCTCATCAATATCATCCAAGGCGTTCTTTCTGGCGTCCTCAATAAGGTAATGAACGTCATTGTAATGGTCATTGTAGTGGGATTGAAGGTGGATTAAGGGAGAGTTAAAAGGAGTAAAGGGGGATTATTAGGCACATTTTCAGGGCGATTTGGGGGAATTAGAAGAAAGCGATTTTAGTCAAGAGGCAGCGAGTAAGATGAACAAGGTGAGAGAATGAAGGGGCGAAAGGACAAAGGAAGGAAGATGGGTTGAAAAGGCAGTTTAGGAGAATGGAGGGAAAAATATGGAAAAATAAAGTTGGAAGCAGAGACGATACACAGAAGAGTGATGAAAAGTGGAAGAGCAAGCGACAATGGAATGAAATGAGTGAGGTGAAATATATGAAGTGGGTAGTTGGAGTGGGTGAGTGGGTGATGGGTGAAATGGTGGAGTGAGTGGGTTGATACACCTGAATCACACGTGAAGCACGATTATGAAAATGCAACGTTAGCAGAGTGCCTTGAACGCGTGCGGCGAGAGGACTGCCTGCGCGGCGAGTGAAAGAAAGTGTTTTAAGTGAGCGTATCCTCAGGACGTCGAGGCGGACGACGGCGATGTGCAGCAGGTAGAGCAAAGGACAGAGGGGGCTAACAACGTTAGCATAAATGGCCATCTTATTGCTTTCAGGAAATTGTCACATTCCTCGAATAGCTTCTGGAAATATTCCGAGTGCAGCACATTCCTCAATTGACTACAGAAATCGGAACACTTCTTCACTGTGCTACCACTATTTAACGTCGACGCCTCGCCAAACGTGAATCCATACTGGTAGAGCGTCGGTGCCACGCCTCTGCATTTCACTATAGAATCACACTGACATGTGGCATCTTGATTCTTCTCATCCTCCACGACGCCATGCTTGCCACTCTTGCACTTGTCCCCTCTGAGGCATCCTCTGCATCCCCAATCTGCGCAAGTGATTTCACAGAAAGCATTGTATAAATTGTTGAGTAAATCCCAAAATGTCCATGGGAGATATATGGCGACATGATATGTGTTGCAATGCTTCTCAGCAAAGTAAGCATATGTATCGCCACAGAGTGATGCAACATATGGAGCGCATTGCTCACCAGGGCATGTAATAGTCATAGACAGACTGGACACGTCGGCCTTTGAAGGTTCATTGTATGCGTCTTTAACTGGTCTAGTCTGATGCTTTTAGCATCATGAGTGCTCTGACTGCTGCCATATGCATCACGAAGCGCGCCGGTGAGCGCATTGTCACTGTATAATTCAATGGATTGCTTGGTAATAGATTCATCAAACCATGTGAGCATCGAATGCTCTCTTTTGCGATCCCATCCCCTTACAGCACAAATCCGAAATGTTCGGGCAGCGTAGCCGGCGTTTTCGGTTTAAGGCAGAATAGGGATCTGAGTTCAGCGTCATCGAGCATTTTGGTTAGCACGTTACATAGCTCTTTGCCCAGGCGCGTACTTCCAGAGAAACCTCTGAAGCCAAGTGGCGTCAAGCAAGGCACGCCACGTGCAGCTGTCTTACAGGTGGAACACGATGACTTACAACCGGCATCGGTTAACTGATGAGGCAAGTGACCCGGCAAGCAGTCATTTAAGTAGGACATTAAAGGTGAAGTTGGTCGGCAGTTTGGTTGACCATTTGGTTGGTCATTTGCCTGGCAAGTTGGTTTAGACGCTGACTGTCCATTTGGTTTGTTGGTTGAATGGTCCTTGCATGGCCAGTTGACTGGAGCGATGTCCTTGCCATATTGGCAATTGGCCCAGCCATAATGCTTGTTTGATAGACTACACTGAGCGTCCAGGAATCTAAGTGGCAGGAACAAACGACGGAGAATATCTAGAAGCATGTCAAGACACTCTGCTCCACTGCCAGGGTATTTGAGCGAAAGGGAATTGTTGGAGAACTCACAGCCGTAAAATGTCTCTGCATCACCGTGGCCGGCGATAGCGGTTAGCAAGTTACGTGAATTGCTAGATAGATACGGCAAGCCATGCTCTGCTACTTTGGACAATATAGTTTTCAAATACGCATTGACATCTTTCATTTTCTCATTTTCTTTTTCTTCCTTTTCTAGCGCCTGATGCAACGTCTTACAATGCTGCTGCATCTTTGAGTAAGCACTGTTATACTCGAGACCGCAGCACCAGGAGAGCATCTCATAGACGGAGCATGGTGTTCTTTTAGCAGAGAAAGTGGCAATGTGACTTTATTGTATTCACTGAAGTGAGTGATGAGGCACGAATGGCAAAGACTTTGACATCATCATTTTGTGGCTGCGTATCGGTGCCATTCTTTTTGTTTGACTCACACTCCTTCAGGTGCTTATTAATTTCACCGATGTTCGCAAGTGTAGCAGTAAGTTTCTGAAGTATATGATTGCCCGTCATATTTTCATGACGCCTCAGCTCACCGTCCTGCTTATCCCTATTAGACACAATATAACCACAATCTTTCAAAAAAAGCCAAGTCCGCTAATGCGGTGGATTTCTTTCGAATGCCATTCATATTTGCATCTCTCTTTTAATTTCATCAAGTCCTCACTCACCCTCTCCAGTATGGTCAGGCAGACCTTGGCGCAGTTGCGGCCCTCGGTGGATAACTTGTCGGAGGATTGAGGATCATTGTCCGTTTTGGAATCACTAATTGAGTAAACGTCTTCCCGCTATAAGCGTTCACGTACGCGCGGGAGAGTTTCTCGGTGAAATTGCCCATGCCGCGCCTGAGGGCGTCGAGGAGCAGTTGTGGAAGCCGTGGAACGTGGAGGGAGAGGGAGGAGATGGAGGAGGAAAGATTGTGAAGAAGTGTAGTGAATAAGTCATCAAAAATGTAAATACGCTTTACAGATGTATCTTTATCAATACGCCTCTCTTCATGATGACTGAGATGTTTGAGTAAATCATCAACGGCATTTTGAATGCCACGGACTTTAGCAGATTGCTCAGTGGGAAGCGGCGGTTGACCATCATTTTTAGGCGGATTTTTTGCCTGGCTTTCGATGTATTCTACAAATGGATCTAGATAATTTCTTAAACATTTTGATGCTTCGGAGAATTTTGTTGCATACTCCTCGGCCTTTAGATCTGTGGAAGGCACAACTGTTTTTAGAATATGAAGCAAATTATATTTGTCATCTACAGCACTTTTAGCAGTAATAGGAACGCCACGTAATACCTTCATCCCCTTCACGCCCGTGACTGCGTCCCGCGCGATTATCGTTTGCACTTCCCGCAGTTGCTGGTCGACGAGCGCGCGCAGGGCCTGGAGGTCGGCGGCGTGGGAGGCGGAAAATAGGATTGGATGGCGGAGGTGAGGGTTTGGAAGGCTTTATTGGTTGTTTCGAGGAGGTCATTTTTCAGATTTGAGAGCGCATCGTTGCAATTTCGATACGCACTATTTAGTGTGGTTAGGAGATCCTGTATCGCCTTACTCAGCGCCTTCTGGGCTAGGTGCACTTTCTGGCAAATAAAACTTATATTGCCTTGGAGAAGGCGAAATTGTTCTTTAATATAATCCATTAGTTTCCCATCTCTTCCTTTTTCGATCAACGCATTGCGGCGCCTTCTCAAGCTCTCCAACAATATCAATGACAGTCTTTATGGCACTTTGTATTCTGCTAGTTATGCTGCCGGTAGATCTGCCGCTCAACTGTTCGGTGAACTCCTTATGAAGAGTCTTAAGTTCTTGGTGAACTTGACCAACGCTACCAGACACATTTGTTTTATGACCAATCTGGTCAGTTTTAAACGCTGTCAAATTTGCTGGAGGCCACTTTTTCATCTGCGGCGTTCTTAACAGATTGGAGGAGCCTGTTGAAGTTTTGAGAAATGCCAATATCGAAATCTTGAATGAATGTTTTACCACGAAAGCTAATATGAAAGTGTTGTACGCTTTGCATCAAAATGCCAACTTGACGAGAAATTTCAGAAATACTGACTCTACTCTCCACACGCTTCGTATCAAGTGACTGAAGTGCGTGCGCAAACTGTGATGCATTCTGTAAAGCAATGCCCAGAGAATGAGTTAATTGTTGCACATCTGAATCAACAGATAAAGTGGCAGCGCTATGTACGGCATTCTGAATTTCAACTATCAATGAATCTACAAATGCGTTCGTCATTAATTTTGTGGCAGATGCATAACTACTTAGAGTTTGATGATGTCGTGTGACATCTGTCGCATTAGCGGCGGACGAACGCTTCTGAAGGAACGCTCGAAGTCCTGGAAGATCTCGGTGCAACTGCATCCGAATTAGCGGCGACGAAGTTTGTAATGTTTGCAACAACTCGGAATATTTATGTCCATGCTGCTTGATAACCCCGTCAACATTCTGTCCGATGCTATGCATCTGTTCGGCTGACTGATTCCACTGCTGCAATTGCGAACCGGTGAATTGAACAGTGCTACTTAACCCGGTTGCACTCACTCCCTGAATCAGTGCCAAATAGTTTTCTTGAACACTCGAAAAGGTCTCATCCACCATCTTCTCTACTGCGTTGGCCAGCTTTTCCAGCTTTTCACAGGCCTCGTGGGCGTAGCCCTTAAGTTCCTCCGTTTTGGACTTCACATACACTGTTCCGTCCGCTCTTTCAAACTTGGAACTGCAGTGTCAACGGCACGCTTACCGCTTTCTCACCTTCGACTTCTTGCAATATGCTTTCTACCTTCAACAAGGCACTGTCCATAGTCTCAGCCGCCGTGCTAATTTTCTCCTCAAATTTGTAACATGTCCGCTGAGCTCGTCGCCAACCTTCAGAAGCACCGTCTTAAGTAACATCTCTGTTCAGCCTGGTATTCACCTTGTCTCCGCCAGAATGGCGAATCCTTATCGACGTCATGTAACGCATTTTTTGATCTCATCAAAATGCCTAGTAATTTTGTCTTTAAACTCCTTCTCGATTCCTTGTAATACTTATCAACATTTTCTTTCTACCGGAGAGCCGCACTAATCTCATCAAAATGCCTTTCCTTAGTCCCTTTCAGCGTGGTAATAGCGTTACCAATCCTTTCGATTTGCCTTCAAAGTATCTTCGACCTTCACGCTCTCCATTCTGATAGCATTTTCCATGTTTGCTCGTTGGGTCAGCAGTTCAGTGTCCACCTTAAGCACCTGATGCTCTAAGCCCACGCTCTTTGCAGAGTTAAGCAAAAATTTCACTGCCGCGCTAAGTGGTTCTATTTTACGTGTGATGCTACTGTGCAAAGGTTTATCTAATTTATTAACATTACTTTTTATATGTTCAACGTGTTTCTCTATGTGAGTTAGTGTAGTCTTCCACTCCTTGAGTTGCTCTTGAAGTCCCTGCGTATTATGAATCTGTTCAGTGTACTTACCTGATAAATGCTCCTTAAGCCATCCTAATTCAGTACTTACATTCCCAGTTGCCTTGCCCTGCACCGCATGTCTATTCAACCACTCACTTACCTGAGACACGGCGTCCGGGAAGGCCTCACGGCCTTTACCTACACTATCATGTAAAATGCGAATAACATTGTTAATATCATGATTATTATCATAAGTTGTAACGTTATCATCATCTTTCACAGTCTCAAGAACTCCATGAAGGAAAGACATCACCCCGTCGCAGAGCCTGTCAAGGTCCGAGTACACGATGCCAGTGCCGTCGTAGCCTTTGGAAGCAGGGTTGAAGCCGAGGAAGGTCTCGAGGCCTGTGCACAAATTTGTTAAAATGTTTTTACATTCTCCATCTTTCAGGTTTTAAACACTTATATCCAAAAGCTCTTTCAGTGTCTAAGAGACTTCTTGGAACTTATATAGACTGAAGGATTTTATCAATTTCAAGACATTTTGAGAGGTTGATAGGCATCTTTAATAAAATGATAAGAAATGGAACATTTAAAACGGTTAGAAGAGAATTGGAAAACGATTTTAGTCAAGGAGGCAGCAAGAGTGAGTGAGAGCAGGTGGACAAGGTAGCAAAGGAAGGTGAAAAGAGGCGAAAAGACGATGGAGAAGAACAGAGAGTGAGCAGTTTAGGAAGTGAAGAGAAAATTAAACAAAGTTGGTTAGAACATACTCGGTGGAAGGAAAATGATGAAAAGTGATAGAGAACAACGATCAATGAAAAAGAGTAAGTAAGTGAAATGATTAAATGAAATGATTAAATGGGTAAATTAGAGTAGGTGAAGTGGATTGAAGTAAGTGAAGTGAATTAAGTAAGTAGTGTAAGTAATTGTCATTAAGTAAATGGGTAAAGTAAAGTAAATACATGTAAATAATTCGTAAAAAATGGTAAATAAGTGAATTATTAAATGGTAAATAATGATTAAATTAGTTAAGAAATGGGTAAAGTAAGTAAGTAAATATATATATGAAGTAAGTAAGTAAATAAATAAAGTGAAATGAAGTAGTTAAAAATGAGTAGAGTGAATTTAAGTAAGTTGAAATGCATTAAGTAGGTGAGTAAGTAAGTAGAGTAATTGAAATGAATTGAAGTAAAATTGTTAAATGATAGAAGTAAGTGAAATGCGTGAAATAAATGTAGTTAGTAAATAGATACGTAAGTAATTAGAGTAAGTAAGACAGAAGTAAAGTGGGCAAGTAGAAAGCATTAAATGATGCGTGAGTAGTTAAATGGGTGAAGTAAGTAAGAGTGAAATATATGAAGTAAGAGTGAAGTGAAGTAATTTAGAGTGGTGGAAGTATTAAGTAAGTAGAAGTGGTTATTAAGTGAGTGAAATGGAAATGGTTAAGTAAGTAAGTAAGGTAAGTAAGTAGGTAAGTATTAAGTAGATTAAGTAAGTAAGTAAAATGGAAGTAAATGATAAGTAAGAAACTGATACGTGAAGTAAGTAGATTAAGTAAATGAATTAAGTAAATGGAAGTGAATTAGTAAGTAAGTAAGTAAGTAAATGCGTAATTAAGTAAATGCATTAAGTAAAATAAGTAAGAAATTAATTAAGTAAAATAAGTGAAATGCAGTAAATGAAATGGAATTAAGTAAATGAGTAGTTAAAATGGTAATTAGTAAATAATTGAAGTAAGTAGAGAAATAGAAGTGGTTAAATAAGTAAAAATGGGTAAATAAAGTAGTAAGTAAGTAGAGTAAGATTGTGAATTAGTCAGATTAGAAGTAAAGTAAATGAATTGAAATATATAAAAGTGGTTAAGAAGTAAATCGTTAAATAGGTAGGTAAAGTAGTTAAATGAATTAAAGTAAGTAAGTAATTGAAAGTAGTTAAAAGTAAGTTGAAATAAGTCATTAAGTAAGTAGATTAGAAATGGGTAAATAAATGGTAAAATTAAATTGTAAATCAGTAAATGTAAATGCAATGCAAAATAAGTAAGAAATGCGTGAAATGCATTAATTAAATAGAGTAAATGGGTTAAATGAATTAGTAAGTAAGTGGTCGTAAGTGAAATAGATTGAAATGAAAGTGAAATAAGTAAATGCGTGAAGTAGAGTAGAAGTAGAGTAGAAGTAAGTAAGTAATGTATTAAGTAGTAAATAAGTAAAGTAGAGTAGAGTAAGTGGTAGATAAAGTGATTAAGTAAATGGAATTTAAAAATATATGAAAGTAAGTAAATATATAAGTAAGTAAGTAGAGTAGAAATGCATTAAGTAAAGTAAATGAATCAAGTAAACGATTAAGTAGTTGAAAATATGAAATGCATTAGAAAGTAAAGTAAGCAATCGTAGTGAATTAAGAAATGCATTAATTGGAAGTAAATTAAGTAAGAAGAAGTAAATATATAAGTAAGTAAATAAATGAATTATAAATAAATGAAATAAGTAAGTAAGTTAAATAAGTAGAAATAAAAGAAATAAATAAAGTAAGATTAAAAGTAAATTATTAAATGCAGTAAATAAATTGAAATATATAGTAGAGTAGTTAAGTAAAGTGGGTAAGTAAAATAAGAGGTAGGTGAGTGAGTGAAGTGGGTGATGGGTGAGTGGGTGAGTGAGTAGTGAGTAGTAAATGGGTGGAGTGACTATGTGGGTGGGTAAGTAAGAGTGATTAGGTGAGTGGTTGAGTGAGTGAGTGATACACAGATCACACGTGAATGCACGATTATGGTGAGAAGTACTTGACGTTGGCGAGTGCCTTGACGCGTGCGGCGGCGAGGAGGGACTGCGCGGCGATGCGGTGGCTTGAGGGCGATCTCAGGTGGGAGCGTATCCTAAGCACGTCGAGGCGGACGACGGTGATGTGCAGCAGGTACAGGAGCGACAGCGACCAGAGGGCTAACAACGTTATCATAAAGTTTTTCCTTATTGCCAAAAGGAAATTGTCAATTTGTTTCAGTAGTTCAATAAGTACGGAGTCTTTTCCGAGTACGCTTTCTAAGGCTCTGCAAAAATCTCTGCACGTGCGCCTCGTTTTAATGTCTGTTCTACCGCTGAGTTTGTGTGGGCTCTCAAACGTAAAACCGTATGCGTAGAGAGTCGGATGAGTTTTTTGACATATTACAATGGAATGGCATTCTGCCGCGTGACTTTGATCTGTGAATTTTTTAGTGTTATCCTTGGATTCATATGCCAACTTTACTGGGCACCTGTTGCCACAGCTTCTGTCGTGGCATCTGGAACCGGGAGTATTGCAGTTTTTGCAACACTCATCTAGCAATTTCATAAGCAAAGCACAGAATATCTCTGTTATATATACTATCCACGAAAGATAATTACCAGCGTGCTTTTCGGTAGACATTGCTCTGATATCCAAGGTAAGCGGCTGCAAGTATGATCCGCATGGAACGGCTGGACTTGTGGAGGTCTTGGATGTATTACATTCAACAAGGCTGTAGAGGTCTCCTTTGTCATGTTTGTCAGAGTGGATCTTGCTGACTTGGATGGGAGCGATGTTTAATTGTGTATTGGTATCTCCGAAGTTTGCTTTTTTAACGGCATCATCAAATGCTGTCTTTCTATGCTTCGTTCCCAAGCCACTATAATTCTGAAGGAATTTATGGTAGAACGCAAAAATATCACCGAGACTCTGAGGTGTTTTGCGTAGCAGGCAGCTAAGCATATCACACAGCCTAGTGAGTACTGAGTTATGCCTGCCACATAAAACGTATAGCGTGAGAAAAAGATGTTCGCCTTTTTTGATATGCGACGCCTCGATACCAAGGTTATTGAAACCCATGGGAGTTAGGCACGGTTTACCGAAGTGATCACGCATTGTACACGTTAGCTTACACCCGGGACTGCTAAATGAATGAGGGAGGAAGCCCGGCAAGCCGTCTTCCAAGTATGATTGGAGTGGCGATTTTACACCGCACTTCGGGTGTTGGTTACCCGTTTGGCCACACTTTTGGTTACATGGTTGGTTGCCCATTTGGTTGGGACATTGGTCAGCGTTGCAGTTCCATGCTGATCCGCCGACTCCGTGACCATACCAACACTGCTTCCAACCGCTACTATCAGGACCGTTATTGCACTGGGTATATAGGAAACGGAATTGGTGATATATTCTATTTAATACATCGACTAACATGTCGAAACATATACCGGCACTACTAGGATACAATAATTCATCTGTGTTTGTATAAAAGTCACAGGCATAACGGCCATCAGCGTGACCATGTCCCATGATGGCTACAAGTACTCTTTTGGAGAGATAACTGACATTGCGGATTTTGCTCTGTACGTCGGCTGCAGTGATGGTGGCCTCAGAGGTTTCCATTTTGTAAGCAGAGGGATCTCCATCCTTCCCTTCCTCAGGCTTCGGGAACAGTCCCATGACGTGATCATTAATCTTGTTGAACATCGGATTGTAACGCAAACCTCTAAGCCAGCAAACCATTTGATAGACGTTTAGAGGTGCTTTTGCGCCAGGGATATACTTATGGTGAGCGACTTCGTAATATGTTCTAACGGAGCCGATCAAGAAGGTAAGAATGTCGAGGACAGTGATTTCGTCAGCTTTGGGGTTACTGAAATCAATTTTCCTAGCAATACTTTCTGTCTTCCACTTCTTTAAGAAATCAATTTGGGAAGCATTCTCAATTTTATTGGTTAACAAATTCTTATATATTTCGATTCCATTGCACTTATCATTATTCCTCAGTTCCCCCTCATAGGTATTAAACGACATGGAAACAAGGTAACCGCAATTTTCAAGGAATGCGCCGAGTGGATTTTTGCCTTTCGTGTATTGTGCAAAGATATTTTGGAATTGCGCATTTTTGCACTTCTCACTTAAGTCATACAGCTCACTATTCAGCGTCTCCATAATCGTCATGAAAACCTTGGCGCATTTCATCGCTTTATCAGACGGCACTGTTTCTTGAGCTTTTGCATCATCTACATTCTTAGTCCACTCAAAGCGTTCCGCAGCCCCCGAGTACCTGCTGACGTACTGCTTGCGTAGCTCCTCGTGGAGGCGAGTGACGCCGCGCCTTATGACGTTGAGCAGGGGAGAGGCTTCGGCGAATTCCTTGGGGGTGAAGTTGTCCAGTTCGCGTTTGAGCGCGTCGATTTTGTCGGAGACTTCCTGGTGGAAGTGTCCTTTGGTGTTCATTGTGGAGAGGACTTGGAGCAGGGCGGAGGTGAGGGGGGTCATACGGTCACGATGAGAACTCACGTCTTCTTGCCATGAAACATCTTCTAGGAATTTTGTTAAAAAGGCTTCGACTTTTTCTCCAAACAGATGCAACTTTGTATTAGATGGATGCAGGTTATGTTGGTCAAACGTTTCGTTCAGCCTCTTCATCAGGCCTTTCAGGCCTGTATCAATGTCTGTGTCAATGAGACTTTGTAAGCTCGCAATTTGGTCATCCACCGACGTCTGGATGGCATTCAATTCAGCTTTCTTCTGGGCATCGAACATGTGCTGGACGCCGTCCTCTAATTCGTCGAAGGCTTTTCTCACGGTTTCTTGTAAATTGTTTCGGAGCAGCGGGAGGACGGAGTTGGTAGTGCTTTGCGCATCAATTAACGATTGTTCGAGCGTCTGAATGGCCGATTCAATGGCTGATTCGGCTAATCTAATTGGTCCATTTATTTTTGTAATTGCCTCCTTTATGCCAGTGATCTCTGTTTTCAAGTCGTCCATAATCTGCTCGGCAGTCTGTTGATTTTGTTGGACAGTGTTGGGAATATTTTTTAGAGCGCCAAGCTCCACCTGAATCTGCTGAACGGCAATTGTAAGCGCACTTCTAGATTTTTCAAAGAGTTGCATCAATTCTGGTACTTTGATTTTGCTGTCATCATCGTTCCCTTCCATTTGAAATCTTCCTATTGCCTCCTTAATTGCTCTCTCGGCTGCCTCCTTGATCTGTGCTTTAGCGACAGTGTTAAAGGCGTTAACGGCGCCTGCCAGACCATAACCATTGGTGTCGCCTGTGTTGCCAATGGCAGTCGTTAACTTTGTGATCAGCTTAGCGAGAGAATTTTCGTCTGGATTGGTGGATCCCCCCTTCCCGTAAAAGCCCTCTCTCAAGGGTTGGAACTTCTGTGCAAGTTTTTGGATGCTTGCCTGAAATTCGTCATTCTGAGCCCGCAACTTCTCTGCCTCCTGAGTAATCGGCTGGATAGTATTCTGATTCAGCGTATTCTTAGCCTCCTCGAGCTTATTAAGCGCACCTTTTACGAGAACATTCTCAGTAGAAGGGCTGTACACATCATCGGCAAGTCCATCAATATTCTTCATCAACATATCCAACCCATCCCGTACATCTTCTTCCAGGCCGATGATTTTATCCCGAACAGTGCAGAATTCAGTTAAAAACGCCGTAGTTTTACCGGCACTTTCATCTACAACAAACGTCTCTATTTGACTTTTAATATCATTAAATTTCGCAACAATGTGATTCCTGTAATTCGTATCAAAGCCATTCGACTTATCACCAACCAATGTATCCGCCAACCCCTTGGCCGCTTCCACGGCCTCGCTGATGGATTGAATATTCTTCTCTTTTGCTTGCCTGAGACTATTAATATTCTTCTCAATACTCGAAAACTTCTCTTTCAATATTCTATCCACTTCGTTTATTTGTCTCGCAATGTATGATTTTACTTCACTGTGCTGATGACTGAACTTATTTTCAAGCTGCGTTACAAAATCTGTTACGGCGCCGTCGTTGGCGGACGTCCAAAAGCATTGTAACACCTGTCGTATTAATTCCATTTTAGGACCTATCTTGTTTGCAAGATTGTCATCAATCATTTGTACAGCCTTCTCTGAATTCATTACGTACCCGAGATAGAGGCCGGCAATCCCTTTCCAATTTTTCAATTGATCTGTAATTGTTTGACGATCCATTCTGGACGACATGTGCCCCTTAATTGTACGTTGCAGTTCATTTAACGGTGTCATAATTTTTTCATTTGACGCATTAATACCTCTTAACCATTCCTCAACGCCAAGGCCCACTTCGACAATACTACTATCAAAATTATTTCTGTTATAGAGATCGTCAGTAATTCTTCTAAGCGGCTCAGTCAAAGGATTTTTGTATTTTTGAAGGTTATCATTTTTATAAACTTCATTTAAAACACCATGAAGGAACGCCATCACCCCGTCGCACAGCCTGTCAAGGTCCGAGTACACGATGCCACTGCCAGTGTAATTACCATCATGGTAGCCGAGAAATTTTTCGAGGCCAGTGCACAAATTATCTAAAATATCTTTACATTTTCCATTTTTATCGCTGTCAACACTCTGATGAAATGTAATAAGCTTATCAAGACTTTGAAGAGACTCCAACGAAGCCTTATGAGACTTCAATTTAGCCTGCTCAGTTTCAAGCTGACTAGAAAGATGGGAGGGAATGGAGACATATTTTTTTGCTTCTTCCTCCTTATATCCCTTATTTTGAAGGTCTTCAATTTGCTTTTGACGCTCTGCTTCAATTTGCTTTTCAAGCTCAGCAACACTCTTTTGAAGCTTGGAAATCAGAGACTCAATTTCCTTTTTAGGCACACTTAAAGCATCTTGAAGCTTCTTAATTTGCTCTTCAAGAAGACTTTTTTCCTTTTGAAGTTTCTCTTCATTTTCCTGAATTTCCTTTTCAAGCCTCTCAATCTCAGGACCACTGCCGGACGGCGTCCTTCCGGACGCCTTACTTTTTTCAGCAATTTCTTTTTGCTTATTAAGCTTCTCAATTTCTCTCTCAATTTTATCAACTTCATTAAATTTATTTTGAAGATTTTTGAGAGGTCCATCACGGAAATTCATAATATTACAATTACACCCCTCTCCTCCGCAAGATGCATTCAAAAGCTTTTCAAGCTGAGTTACATTGCTGTGCAAACCCTTCAACAATGCATCTTTAACTTCCTGTCCACTGCCAATAAAACCCATAAGTTGTCCAGCAAGCGTACCAAGAGAGATACGACGGGCATCGATATCATCCAAAGCTCCTAGTCTGGCATCCTCGGTAAGGTAATGAACTTCGTTGTAATGGTCAGCTTTCTTTTTTTTAAGCTTAGATATTTCAGCTTCAGATTTTTTGGCATCATCAATTCCCTTTTGAAGCTTCTGACAATGATTGTCATACAAACCAGCAGAACTTTTATCGGCGCATAACAGTTCCTTTTGTCTATCATTAAGACTCTCGCTAGCATTTTTAATAGCATCACCAATCAACTTTTTCAAGGCTTCAGCCAAGTTCTTAAGACCATGTTCACCATTCCCATGCCTAACCTGTATCAACCAGTCGATGGACTCCCGGAGATTTTCCGGGCAGTCGGTGAGCTTCTTAAGTTGACGTACCATTTTGAAGGCTAACTTACCGGGCAATTGTAGACGCTTACTTTACAACACCGCCTATCACCACAGGACCACAACTACACTAGGACACTACACTACAGGACACATAGACGACACAAGACAACTATGCCAATTTTAAGCACACCGCCGCTAATTTCACACAATCTAACACAAATGCAAAACTCACCGCGCAATATAGGCTTCCCCGCTCACCAATCAAGGATGTTTTATGCCTATTAAACGCCGACCAGCAGCCTTCCAGACCCTTTTCGGCTTCCTGGAGACTTCACCGACCAGCTCAGAGACTCTCGCAATCCACCGCGCTCATACCGCCCGGTTCCGCCAACCACCCAAAATATTCACCACCGACAACTTCTTCCACACCCACATGGGGCATCTAACACCGGGACCCACGGTTCGAAACCACTACATTAGCAACACCCACAGCGCAATGCACCACCAACGAATCACGCAAAAAATTCATTCCCCGCCATCACTGACACTTTTTAGACCACTTTAAGGTCATATCACGGCCAACCTGGGACACAAACGAAACGCTTCTTTCCGTTCACTTCGCAGCCTCCGGCCGCATGCAGGGAGCCGCTCGAAGGGCAGTGAAGACGCCCTGTTTCTTCCTAGGACCCAGGTATCTAAGCTATCCGGCGGCCGAAAAGGCGGACTTCCACCTCAACGGAAGCGTGACCTAAACCACGGTCTCCACCTAGCTCTACCAAAAGTATATTCTCTATTCAACGTGCTACTCAAACACTTAACCAAATTGCGAACCAAAGAGGTAACCAGAGAGCCAACCAAATCACGAATTTGCTAATATGTCATTCACGAAATATCCGCTAACCTCTTTCGTAAATAACCGTAAAACGGCAATATAGCGGTTAATAGCTGCGTTGATACGTTCCTTGAAGAGACAAGCTCTTCACTAGAAACGCTCCGCCGTCTACAAGTATGTTATTTGTGCCTTTACGTGGAATCTACGTGAATGCGTTGCTTCCGCTACGCAACGTATTAAGCTGACTCTCTACGTGTCCCTTTAATAGCTACGTGAACTTTGTGAAACATACTCAAATGAGCCTTTAACGCGATATTTCCAGATAATAACGTCCACCCAACTTTACATATCACGTCCACCAGGCAACTACCGTTGCCCGTAAAGCATTACAAAGCTATTAGAAGCATAGATCGCCAATTTACGCACTTTCTATTCGGCAGCTCTGAAACGTCCCTTGTGATTCACATGCGCGCTACGCGCTCTGGACGCTTAACGTCACTAATCTCACGCCTCGTTTATTACTCTACGACGCAGCAACAGCCGCAACTAGCTACCAGTGATCTAAGCATCTACTCAGCTAAAAGGTGAACACGCTGGAAAGACTCGAAACTGGTCTAGTGCGCTCATCTGACGCCGCCCTCTGCTCTGCATGATTGCACGGCGGATACCATCACGGCTAGGCATACATTATGCAACTCCGCTAGTGCTCTGCTAGCTAAAGCAGGGACGCCCAGCATCTCACAGTACAACAGAGGCAGCAGAAGTATCACAGTACGTTAGTAAAAGTGACATACAACGCATTATTGCGTGCTATGTAATCCAATTACTGCAGCACTGTGTGGCATGTATGGCTGTCGAGTACGCATCGAGACGCAGCAGCGATACGCCGAGTGGAAGGCTACAGGTAAGTTTATCATTATACGCATTCAGGCACACTCTCAATCACAAGCAAGGCGTCAAATCTCGCGATCATCAAGGAATGACGTGGAATCCCTGCTAACGCTGCCACCGCTCAGCCGGGTAGGCGGCCGGTCGCCGACTTCGACATGCAGCTGCGCGGCAGTCATGCGATGAATCGCGTATTGCAATGGCACTAATCAGACGTCACATAAGCTATATCAAACGGTATTCCATCAATTATCACGTAGACCACCAACCCGTATGCGGCCAGCTCCGCTGCCCTTCCCACGTCCTCACATGCGCCAGTCCATATACGTCACCCATCGTCTGCGCGCTTCACATAACGCGTCAGACCACGCAGATCCTCTGCCTCTTCGACGCTTCACTCGCGGAGAAGAGACGCACATGCCAGCGCCTTCCCAACACGGCCCGTCCCGAAGGCCGCATCCGGCCGCAGGGTCCAGCTGAGTGGTCCACCGGGTGACGATATGGCCACAAACAGTGTACTCTAGCGTAGGTAATGTAGCATATAATGCTTAGCATAAGTGGCTTGTTCAAAAGTTAGTGACCGTATGTGGTCAGTAGATGTGAAAGGTGTCCCAGCGGTGCAATGCCAGCTGACGTATGTATAGTAGCGGTAGCAGTAATATTGCTATGCTTGCTTTACGTGTAAAACGTAATGTCAACCCTTAGACAGCGTCTCATTTTATGTATTATGTCAGTCACCCAACGATGTCTCTCAACTATGTGACCCTGTCTGCCTATGGATTCGTAATTTGCTGCTGTGTCGTCTCACCAGCCCTTGATTACACTGCGATATCGACTACTATTTTGTGTGACGTGTTAAAAACGGCATAAGGTAAGCGTGTCTGTTAAAAAGCGTAAGGGGAAGGCTGCTCGTTCCCCGGCCAGTGGGCCCGACGGTAAGCTTCATGTTTGCAGTGCTGCCTATATAAAGAACCAAAAATGCATTAGAAACCATGGAAAATATCGCCATAAATATTAATACAACAGTCAGCATGGCAATCCATACGTAGCAACTCCACTGGTTGTACGCCGTCTCCCAGTCGGCCTACGCCGCCCATAACTGGCCGGCTCGGCATTAGTCTGGTCGCAGTTTTCGCTAATGTTAATATGGCTTCGAGGAGCCTCAAAAGTGCGCTACAAGTGTTCTTATGTGAAAAGTCAATAAAATGAATACTTTCTGAAATAGCTAACAGTGGCACCAAGGGTGCTGGGAAGGCCCCTCCGGCGCCTGGGGACTGCCGTCCTCACAGGCAGCCATTTCAGCAGCCCTCTAGCATTGCCCACGCGTTTCCCCAACTACTTGGGCGCGCCCGATTGCCTACCCAGGCGGTGGTGCTGAGCCCGATGGGGGCCCCCGGGCCCCGATAGGGCGCCTTGGGCCGTGTGGCTGCACACACGGGGGGCGAGTAGGGCGGTATGAGGCGCCATCACACCACGACGGGTGCACGACTGTGGCCAGTCAGACTCCGTTTTCGGCGTCTCAGCCTCACCGCACACCCATTTCACCCACAGCCCCTAACACCACGCCACACACGACCACATTCATATCAAAATTCATTACACGCCACCGCCGGTGTTCATGTCTGAATATTAATGCTACGTGTTTAATTACGGCTCATTATGCGCAGACGCCGATACCTGTTAAGACCATGCGACAGCCTGTTCATGGGTAGCCGCGAGAATCTCCAGTTCCAGTGAGGGTGAGGCCTCGTCCACAGCGGTGGGCGTGGTATTCGAATCCGGGGCGCATCCTCATCGTCACTTTCTTCTACGTAGCGCTCGACTATAGCTCCTCGCAGGAGGCCGCTTCGCCTGAGCAGTCTTCCCAGGCGCTCGTCAGACAGCGGACCTGCCTCCGGGTCTGTGTCGGTCATCTCCCATCGATCGTTGCTCACGTTGTAGCGTCCTTCTCCGGTCGCACTAGTGCGTTCTGGGAGGGACCAAACCATTCCCGACTCCAGGAGTTCACCATTGCTTCATGCCTCCGTTGGCGTACGAGTTCGCGTATCTCACGCTCTAGGTCCAGCCAGCCGCCGAACAGGGTGTCGTCGGATGCAATTCGCTGTCGACATCGAAAATTCGTTCCCACGGACACGGCTCGTATCTCGCTGCAATCTCTCGACGCTCACGCACGGCGGAAATGGCGCTTGGGGGCAGGAGAGCCATCTCTTCCGTCGTCGGGGTAATGCACTCTATTCTGTATTGCGGTCATGTGCGCTCGTGAAAGTGCGGTGAACTTACGGTATACCAGACGGGTGAAGACTCCTCGGATGCTTCCGACGATTCGGGTGTGGAATCCGAAGATGACTCCGATGTGTATCCCGGCACGAGGTTGATGATCTGTCTCCTGGGCGCGTGTGCCGATAAGGATAACTGCGGATGAGCGTCCCTCATCGGCGTTATTTCCTCGTCGGTCTCCGGCGCAATGTCATGACGGACTCGCCGACGCTCGTACGGCGAGGGCCACGCGTCTTCCGAGTGCACATCAGGTGAAAGGCTTGGTTGGTCGTTGTACTGTATCACGCGCATTCCTCTGGAGTGCTCAAGGGGCTCTTCCTCGTCCTCCTCGTCTTGGTCTTCCAAAGAACCGTAGTTGTCAGCCACGTATGCGTCCCCAGGAAACTCCGCTCTCCCTATGGGCGTCAATGGTAGAGGCAGTTGCAGAATGTTGGTCCCTTCCGTAATTGAGGCTGTCGGCGTGCTCTCCGAATATGTCAGTCGTTGGTCAACCGATGTCGGGAAATACGGATCGTCCTCAAGTAGGTAGTCCGTTGTAAGCGCACGAGGCAATTCAACCTGCGGTTCGGATTCTTGGTTGTAGCCTACGTTTGTATCGAGTTCGGATTCTGGGTTGTAGTCCAGGATTGTATTTTCCATGGCCTGCAGGTTGTAGTTAAGGAGCCGATCGAATTCGCGGTCCCGGCTGTAGTCCTCATCGGGGCCGTATCCGCCTTCGAAAGCGAGCTGCAGCATACGTTCATTGATTGCTCGAGTTCTCTCCGCTTGAATCCGTTGTCGCTCAGTTAGCTGGTAAACGACAGCAGGTTGCTGGCTGCCAAATCTTTCGACATTTCGGGAGCCTGGTTCACGTTGATTGGTAGGACGGTAACTTTGTGCGTTTCGTATCAGCTGTTCATACCGCTGCTGTTGTTCCTCGGGTGTTTCTTGAAATACACGCTCAAATTCCTCGTACGCATGTTGCAAGGCTAATCGAGATTGTTCCGCTATCTCGTCGTAGTCTTCATCGTATCCCGTTTCCTCAGTGAGTTGATGTTGTGTTTCGTGTGCAAGTTGTTGTTGCTCATCCTCGTGGTTCGGTAGCTCACGAGGGAGCTGTCGACTTTGGTCACCATTCTCCGCCATTGGTTGCTCTCGTAGACGTATATGCAGTTGCGCCTCGGTGTGCAGTATTAAATTAAGTGTGACAAAAGTTCCAGCATTGTAGTGCCGCATGACTCTTTGCTTGTGGTGCCCGCGCGTCAAACGTAGGGTTTTGTAGTGCTGTGAATGAACATTAGTGTTTTGTCCGACGTTTCTATTGTCTACCCGCTCTAAGGTGCTGTATGGGCCATGGGATCAAACATCTGCTCGATATTTGCGTGCTTTATCGGCCGCAGCATGGCATAGTGTTGTGCGTGACCAGCGTCGTTGTCAGCTCGCTGTGTAGCTTCATTTTGATACGTACATTAACACTGTTACTCATTATTATTAGCGTTTTGTGGTTCATCGTAGAAATCGTCGTCATCTTGTGCATTGTCGCTGTCACCTTCACCGCCGGTGTCGGTCTCAGCTCCATCAATGTCGGTGGATTCTTCATATTCACTTTCGGTCTCCGTTTCGTCCTCCCTATCAGACGATTCGTATAGGTCACTTTCCGTTCCGTAGTCGTCGTGGAATTCAGCTTCGCATTCGTCACAGCACGGATAGTTCATGTCGCAATCGCAGAGAGGCTCAAAACGTTGATCATAGTATAACTCGACTTCGTACCCCTCTTCTTGGAGAGAATCACTGTACCCTGCCTGTTCATATTGATCACTATACTCCGTTAGCCTACCGTTTGCTGCCTGCTGGCCACCCTCGCTGTGCTGTCCTTCATCGTTCCCCTCGACTGGCTCCGACTCATCGGTTGGCTCGTCGACCTGCGCTGCCGGAGGCAACTGTAAAGGTCCCATGTCAAGCTCGGATTCGTCGAAGAACATGATCTCTTCGTCGGAGTTTATGGCTGGGTCCGGCAGCGGATTGTCGTCCTGCCGCGAGACCTCGGGCTCAGCGTAGTGCCACACAACTGCGCTTCGGCGGCGGCGCCTTTCTTCGTTGATGCGCCTCTCATTCAGCTCTATGGCGTCCCTCAGTATGCCTCTGCGCGCAGTTAGACGATTCTCGTCGCGCTGGTATAACCCCTGCCTCTCAAGCCGCTCAATCATTCGGTTGAGGCGACGGACGGCCAGTCTGTTTTGCCTCGACTGTACTTCCGGGTCACTCGGCCGACGTCCTTCGCTGCCCCGCTGGAGCTCTCTGAAGTTTCGCGTCGGGCTGTCGTAGGGGACCATGTATACCGTCGCGACGGGGTCGAAGCTTACCGTCCTTGACCTCATTTCCTCCGCCGGCCGCTCTCCTTCCTCAGTGCTGCGGCGCCTCAACTGACTCACCAGCTGGCGGCGGAGCACGTTTGACGACCGGGAGTCGGCGGAGGCACCCCGCGGGTACACGATGCTCACATCGACGTCCACGTCGGTGCCGAATTCGGGACCTTCCTCTCTCAGGGGCTCTTGGCGAATGAAGACCGTCTCGCATCTCCAATTTCGTGGCAAATCCGCGCGATTTTCGCGGACGTACTGGCGGAGGCGGGGAGAGTCTTGCTGGGTTTCGATCCGCGTGCCCGGAGCCGGCGGGAACAGCGCTGGCGTAGGCATGAGCGGCACGCTTCCCACCTCGTGTAGCCGTGGCGGCGGTAACGACGAGCGCCGTACCGGAACTGGCGTCATTGCGTGCGGATTGTTTTCAATGCCTTCTCTGATTTCCGGCAAAGGCAAAGATCTGCGCGCAGAAAGATTCTGCGGCATCCTCCTCACCACGACCGGCACTTGTGCGGGCATCATGGGAAGCTCTCGTGTGCTCTGTTGTTGCATGGGCAGCATAGGAAGTTCTCGTGTACTCTGATTCTGTGTGTCAATGGGAGATTCCTGTGTCAAATCGCCCTGCCGACCTTCGTGTCTCGTGCTTTCCTGGTTGCCTGATTCAGAGACAATCACCTCTAGCAGCGATTTAACTATCTTTTCGTGCTCCTCGGGATCGGCAGGCCGATCAAATCCCCCTTTTCTTCCTCGCTGCCCATCATTATTATCTTCGTGTTGCTGCCTTCCCTCATCCTGTTGTACATTTTCATGCTGCATACCCGCAATATCCTGTTGTACATCCTCAGCAACCGGCTGGATATTATGCTGTTCGGTGACCTCAACGGATGGCTGGGGGTCCGGATTCTGCTTTTTCGACCGGCCTTTTCTGGTAGGGGCGTTCTTGGCTTGCGGCGGCGAGTTTGACTGCCGCGCCATGCCTCTCTTGCCCCTACCGCCAAGCTGCGAATCATCACCCGAATGCTGAGTGCTAGACACTAAATTTTGGTTTAAGTCAAAAGGCTGTTGCTGAGAAATAATCTCGACTTTGGCACTTTCCACCTTCGTTTTGTGAGCGCTGTCAAACTCGAGGCTGACACTTTTAGCATCTAACTTCTGGAAATCTAAATTGACCCGTTCAATATCGTCATTTAGCATGATTTGTACACCGAGCGGTTTGCCTCCAACCTTCTTATAGAGAGTGCCTCCATCGATATTTTCCTCCTGGATATCCTTTTGCTGTTCGACATTCGGGTTCTGGACTTCTGGCGGCTGTTCAACATCCATCTGCTGCTGCATATCCTGTACCTCCTTATCCTGTTGTTCGTTTTTGCGCGCCCTGCCTCTCCTGCGTGTTACTGCGGCACTCGTGGATTTAGGAGCCACATTTTCACTATCGTTAGCCTGCTGTTTGGGCACCTCAGGTCTATCCGGATGATCGTTACCAGGTGTAACGCCGCCGCTTTTGGGCGACGGCGTGCTATTTACCGGGGCAACCAGGCTTTCCTCAGGCTTATTCTCAACATCCCCACGATTGACTGGCGTCCCATCGGCGCTTTTCGACAGTATTTTCACGTAGGGAAGGATGCTTTCCTGATACGTTTCCTGGGTCTTTCTTTTGTTCCTTGGCGTTCCTCCCGTGCTTTTGGGAGACTGGTCGTCTTTTTTGGGAGAACCCCCTAAGACTTCCTCCATCGTCATTTGGCGTTTCACCATGTTGAGATTCAAGCAAGATTCGGATATCGGTTAATGAGCGTGGCTGGTATGCGTGCTGCGTGTAACGTATCCTGGGCTCTTTCTCCGAGGCTAACGGTAACATTGGGTCTTTTAGAAACTGTAAAGTCCTTTATAATGAATGCAGTGGCTGTAAAGGCAGCTGCATGGCTTTTTTGGTATCTTGTCGCATGCACACCGCGCGTGGTATATCCAAGGCGGCCGTTGTAGCGAGAAGCGGGGTTTTAACCCGCAAAATAGCGAACGTACGACACTAAAATAAAATATAGCTACCAGATATGACGCAAAAAGCGAGTAAATACACCGTTTTGATGCAAAATGGCGATATGCGCGACAGCAACTAGAGACTGTAACTGAGGTGTAGATGGCAATAAGGCATGAAAAAGGCGCAAAATTAGCGAGCACAGCGTCTTAGAATTACGTGCTCTATCATAGGTAGGGTAAAGGCCCGCAATCGTGCATTTATTACATGCCTGCATACTAAAGTCTGCATTTGCCTCCCCACGCTGAGTGCGCTGAAGCGCTCTCAGAAGGCTTAGCCACCCTTCTCCCGGCGGCAGCGTCGCCTCTATTTCCACGTAGTCCGATCCAGAGAATTCTGGACGAGGCTTCTGGACGGGGCGGCCTGCCGTTCGGCTGGATTAGTCTACAAAATCTCTTCAACTTGTCAACTTACCATCGGGCCTCACCAGCCTCTTTAATCTCACCACCAAGCGGACGCGACTCTTCTCGCCTGTACCACGGGAAGGTTAGGTGTTAATGCATCTAACGTGTTGAGTGCTGTGACTGTGCTGTGAGCGTGTTTTTAATGTTGCCCAGCGAAGCGTGCCAGTGCTCTGTGCTTGTGGCGCGGCCCCAAAGTGGCCGCGTCTGTGGCCCCGCGGTCTGTGCTTACGTAAAATCCGTATGCAACTCCCCACCCTATGTAGATGCTCGTCGTCCATATTTCCCTTGCCTCGACGCCTAGGTCAGCGTATGCGCCCGGGCAGGCTTTTTTCCGGCATTCCCGGTTTTTTTATGCCTGTCGAGTGCAAGCTCAAGATTTAAACAGCCAAGAAGATATTATATGACAGCCTCCCGGAGTCATGAACCGCGGAGTGCTGTGCGATAATTACTATTATGTGTGTCAGGTAGCTTAAAAGTATTAACCTTCGGGACATAATTAGAGGACGAGAGCATTTCTTTCCATGTGAAATTTGCATTATTATTTTCCTTATTATCATCTCTTACATCAGGAGATAGTGGTCATGGCACTTATAGCCTTTTTACTTTTTACGAATATTTTTTTCAATGTCTCGTCCTCTGAAAAATACATGTTTATTAGAGTTACGTTTCGTTTGCGTTTGTATCTCCCATTCTCTCTTGCATTAATGTTACCGCCGTCCGCTGTCTACGTGCGATCTACAAACGCCTATACGGCATCATGTGTTGGCTATCCTGCTATGACCTATACCAACCCGTCCACGCCTCCATTTCTACTCGAATCCTACAGTGCACATATAATTTTACCATGGCGGCTAGGCCCTCCTCCTTCCGTTACAGGTCGCTAGTGCCCGTCTTCCGTCAGATTTGTTTCCACGCTCATCCACGGGGGCGTTGCTGCCACTTCCGTCTGTCGCTGCTGCAGTGCCTTCGGATTCCGCCAGCGCGTGACTTGTCCGCTATGCCAACTGACGAATGCAACGCGTAGGTGCAGGGCCTTCGGAGCCGTCCTCTGCCTGGTCCGGGGTTCTGACACTCCGTGCCCTGTGACCCAGCGTCCTGCGACGAACAAGGCCACTCCCCCGGGGGAAGTAACGACTCTCCCCCGTTGTTCCCCGCGGTCCCACGCCGCTTTACTCCTCTAGCTAGGGCTAGGCCCGGCCGTTGGCTCCCGTTCCGTTCGGAGTTTCCGTTCGCTTGTGGCTGGCTTCGCCACCCGGCCCTCGCCTGGATTGTGGCCGTCAGTTCGCACTAGGTTCGTTTGTTATTGGCGGGGCCCCTCGCCGTTCCACTGGTTTGGTTTCCCCCTTTAACGCGTTCAACTCAGTGCCTTCTTCCGTGCCAGTGAGTCTTTACGGCTGTGAGCTATGTTGCCGTACCCCTAGCCAGGCGTGCGCTGGCCACCCGCTCTCGTCCGCTCCTATCGTTCCAGGGTCCCCTTTGCATTGGGCCGGCTGTTTGGCCACGTCGCGGCCCCCGCTCCGAGGCCGTCCCCTGTGGGCAAGCCGCCTCCTAGGTGGGACACGACTAGCCCGTTGCGCCAGGTCCCCCCTCCTGACCATCCCGGGAGTCCCGATACCTGTTACCACCAGTCCGGTCATGCGGGCTTGTAGGTCCCTGCTTTCAGCGGATTGCTACGTTACCGCATCCGTTACTGGCCCAGAATGGGGGCGGCGTCCCATGAATCACTCATGGTTCTGGTTCCACCCCCGCTGGTTGGCTGGCTTGCGCCGCCTGCCCCCGCGGGTACGTTTGGCGAGCTTCACAGTGCGGTGTGTCGCAAGGCGCGGTTCACTGGCAAGCCAGTTCGCTCCTCCACCATTGCTCCGTTCCATTCAAGCACTCCTCCTTCTGGCGGGCAATTATTCTCGGCCGTCCGCGACTGTCACGGCGTACGCCACCACGCCGGCGGGTCTCGCTGGATGTTGATGTTATTGCTTATAATTCGAGCCCGACTTGCATCCGTACCCAGTCCGCACCCAGAGGCCCCTACGAGTCCGCCACTTCCGCTGGCTGGGCAGTCGCATTGTCCCCGTCTACCCCTGTCGCACGCTGGGCGGCGCCTTCGTTCCACGCAGTCCAGGCCCTGCGCTTTCCGGTTACATCGCGTTGTAGGGACTCTTCCAGCGCTTCTCCCGAGGGAGTGCGTCCTGGTCGTGTCCGTATCTACTCGGCGGCATCGTGGCTGGTGGCACCGCCGGCCCCATCGAGGTGCAGGTCGCGCAGCGCTCACCCAGTCACGGAATGTGATAGCCATCACTCCTCCACGTGCGGTACTCACCCATTCCCGCCGGTACTCAGCCAGGGGCTCTTTCCCGCCTAGCACGCCACCGTCTGGTCAACAGGGTCGCGGCGGCCTCAGGACCGTTACATACATCGCAGCGTCTGTTGTTATGGACAGCATGCCAATCACACCTTCCCCAACTCAAACCCCAGCCCTCAGGCGCACTGCCACACGCAGCTTCTGGTCTACCCATCATGTGGGTGACCCTGCCCTGGGTTCTTTTTCGGCAACGCATCGTCCGGAATTAAGGCCGGCTGTCGCTGCTAGAGCCAGTGGCTCCGGACGTCTCCTTCGTGCTGCTATGCCTCCATCAGGCCTGTGGCCGGCAGCGTCGCATCAATTAGTGAGCGGGTGCGGCCCCCCTGGCCACAGGTAGCATCCTGCTGCAATTCCCACCTGCGTGGGCTGCGCTCTCTGCCTCCTGATAGACACGCTACTCTGGACAGTGGCCTGCGTTTTCCGCGCATTTAACAGGGCTCCTACCATTCTACTCCCCGTTACTACCAGCAACTGCTGCTGGTGTGGTCTACGTAGTGGCAGAAGCCGTAGCCTGGTACTTTTCCTCTATCGCTTTCTTCATAATAGGCCTATCCACGCCACCGACCGTTACCAAAGTTGCGCCCATAATCGCAAACTCTATGTAGTGATACCACAGCAAACGTCCGTCTGGTGCCGGGGAGACGAAAAACAACAGGCACACGATCAACCGCACGCCCATCACGACGATACCGGCAATAAGCTCGCCATAGTCCTCATGCAATTTCGTAATTCTGTCGATGACTTTTCCTCCAGCCGCAGTTCCTGCTGCCCCGCCAATCGTAGTGACAACGATGGCAACGCCCACCTTCAGGTCAGACACACCCAAATACTCCAGGTACGTGATCATGTACGGCAAAGTGCACATCGGAGCCTCCGCGATCAGCATAGTAAAGATGGACAGAAATGCTGACCAAGACATAAAAACCGCTTGAAAGGCCCCTGATATTTGGCTGATGAAAATTTCTATGGATTCATAAGGAGTGCTAAGATCCTGCTCAGTTTGCATTCCAAATATAATTGCTATACCAATTGATATCCACACGTATCCCAACACGATGTACGAGACACGCCAGCCAATATATCCCAGCAAAATGTTTTGAGCAGCCTCCGTTGTTAAGACGGCGCACAGCATACGACCGATGGTATTCAGAGCGTGAAGGCGGGTGAACGTGCTGCTGTTCTTATCATCATCTGATTCAGCAACAATCTTCTGCTGAACTGGGTACACGCAACCGAATGCGGCGCCGTGCAAGAAGCGCAGGAAGAGGATCTGCGGGGGAATCAGCAATGCAGCACTTCAAACCTACCGCGGAGTAGTGTGACGCGGAGCTCAGAAAGATTGACGCGATGCCCATGAACAACAACCCAGCAGCCAACACGAGGTTAGTCTCAAACGCGTCTGCCAGCAACCCCCAAACTAATGAGCAGCACATGCGGGACATGATAGACACGGTCACCAACATCGTCAGCTGCCGCTTGGAAAACTTCAAAGTTGACTGGAAGGTCCTAACACACATGTACAACACCTGCTGCTCGTAGCCCTCCGTGAACGACACCAGGTGGTAAAGGACCTGGCCAAAGACGCCATAGTCCGCGTTTACTTTCTTTGATGCTGTAGGTTCTGCAGAATCTGAGGATCCAGCAGACTGTGAAGATGATAGCCCAGACATTGTTAGAGAGTGATCCGGGCCTGGCATCCTCCGAACGTTTTTAGAATCAACCACGATGTGTAGCGCGTAGCACGTGGATCAAAACTTGAACAGCTACATTAGACATGTATGGTATCATCCTGTAAAGCGTTCACTGCGATAAAAATGCCCTGAATGAAATTGACGAGAATGTATCACACGGAACAAATAATGCAATTGTCATAAACGACATCGCTATGTGCACATTGCCTTAGACCCCCAAAACAACGCATGGATATCTACCTGAAACTGAGGGTCCTACAGCAGTGACTCTTCATCGTGTGTGAGTGGAATGTGTACATGTGGATTCGTGCAACCTATGCCCATCCAAGTCTACGAACCGCTCCAACCGACGCCACAATACTTCCGTCACCGTCGCCGCCACTGCCAAAGCGTGTGATGTGAATTCAGTGACAGCCGACGAATCTCTGTGGCAATTAGATGACGGTGTCTGGCAAACACATCGGCGCGGATGGAAGCTCTGCTTCAGCGCCTCGATGGTTGCTGCGATAGGTGGGCGACGCTGGAGTGGGATCAGTGAACGCGACGCACTCGTGATTAGTCAGCGCCGCGCTCACCATGTGCGACGTCACGCACTTGCTATGAACGTCAATTACTGTGTTAGGCACCGCCTTTCCTCTGCGCCCTGCGACTCTCTCCCGGCAAAACTTGTGAGACAGGCGCATGTGTATGGTATCTGCGCCGTGACATGCAGATCAACTGGCATCACAGTTGCGCAGTCAACTACACCCGGCACGGACCGTGTCGCCTTGTATACGTCAGTTAGTCCCGCTATATTGGTGCGCTAGTGAGTGGCTAGATGAGCTGCAGTGCGATTTTTGTATGATAATGAACGCCACAACGTTTTCGACAAATGCCACTTAACTACGCCGTACACCGGCAATCAGGTCGGAAAGCACCGTGACATTCATTGCCTAGCAACGTGCAGGATAATATGTATGCAAATCACTTCCTTAGCAGATGGTATAGTCCTTCACCTATAATGGCGGTCTTTAGTTGTTGGGGTTCACCGTCCGCCTAGTTACGCGTCGGCTTATTTAAATCCCTTGTTATCCATGTACGCGTGAAGCCCGGGCATTGCCGTAGGTTGTAATATTTAATCAGCCTGCGTTCCCAACATATTCTAATGGGTGACATCTATACTGCTAGTAAGGTTAAGGACAGTTTAGGCGTGGACTGCCCCATACTATTGTTTCAAATGTCGAATAAATCATCATTACCCTCCATATCATTCACAGCTTAAATACTCCACTAAGTATCTTCATGTGTTTGCCGTCTTTAATAAACTCACCTAACTGTTTCGTAGCATTTTGGTTGGGCAAATGGAGAGCATCCAGCCAGCTACCAATCCTAGTCTTGATATATGTAATTACCATCGTAAACTCTCCTCCAACATTCATTCTAAGTCACCTAATCATAGCGTAAGGTGTTTTAGTTAACTTGGTACCTTGTTGAATCTGCGCCACCTTACTCATCCCCGCATTCGGCGTCATGCATACAATCGCAATTGAACTGTATGCAACAAGCCTCGTCGAAAACATCGTTTTGCAGCTAGAGTGCCTTTAAGAAGACACATTATGCGTTCAAAAAACCCAGACCGTTAAGCGTGACATCCATTACGAGAAGACTCACATGAACACGCCGAGGTGACTGCGGTAGGACGGACGCGCTGTCAACGTTAGTGCCTATAAATAAAAACAGCAAAGTACATATAATTTTGCTTTATACGTCATGCATAAAACCTAAAACTGTTCGTCTAATTCTAATACGGTTGAAATGCTATGGTGCCGTTTATTGCGATGGTGCCCGATCACAGTCCCAGCAGCGCCGGTGACGACTAACTATATACAAACACGGATGGCATCGCGCACGTCTTACAATGAAGCAGGCTTGGCGATTATACATCCGCTTCTCTTGCTCTCTCCACTAATCCTTCATTGATCGCTTCGTAGTATTGCATCTACACTCTCATCGCCTCATTCCCCAGCCTCATCTGCTGATCGTCGCTGTCTTGACTAACTTTTAATAATCAGCAACATGCCGCAGCGGCGTGAGATGCTTGCCTGGAAAATGCAAGAAATGGCCCAAGCCCACGTAGCCACATAGCAGATTAGCTACTAGATGCGCTGACGACCGCATATAGCAGACTGTAAATCGCCTCAACAGACGCGACCCACAGGATGGTTGTTTGAATACAACAAGCAAGACGTAGACCTCATATTTAAAAAGTGTTGCGGCGGGTGATGCATTTTCTCGACAGTGCGACGTCTGAGACAAACGACGTACGCCCGTGTGAACCACATAGCACCCCAAAATTGCCATTCGGAGTCTGACGTGCTCACTTGGGAATATCCGCCGGCAACCTTTCGCAGCCATGGCAGATGTTGCGTTTGGCGTTTGTTAAAAATAAGTTTCACCCTAGTTTGATTGTGTTTTCGTCAATGAATTTATAGGGTGGTACTTCCAGGTTTGCTGGGGCGGGCCCTTGTCTGATTCGGCCTGCCGGATTATATTCGAGTGCACATGTGAAACTCACCCGAGGCATCGTAGTGCGATCCGTGGCATGGGCAGAAGTAACCGCCGTAGTTGCCTCCCTTGGTGGGAACGCAGCCCAGATGGGTACAAATACCGATGTTGACCAGCCACTCTGGGTTCACGTTCCTTTCTGAGTCCAGTTCCGGGTCCCTCATGGAGTCGACGATTTCGTCGTCCTTCCTGCACAGCGTTATGCGGCATCTACAGCTTTCGCGTACCTTGAGCGCTCAATTTCTTCGCGCGTGCGCCTTTTGATAAACACGGGCTTCGCCCTCCACTTGACGGTGATTTGATCGCCGGGTATCATCTGGGAGACGTTAACCTCTATGGAGCCGCTGGCAGCAACGTCCTGCGCACAATAGAGAGCAATACGCGCCACCTTACCCTCGCCACCCAGAAGAAGTGTATGACTTTGCACACGATGGACCTGCCCAACGCGAGGAAGAAGAACATGGCCGTCGCTGACATGAGGTATATGGCCGCTCTTCTGTCAGTTCCCTTGGGCAGCCTGTACTCGCTGAAGTCCGGGAATGCGTCTGGTGTAATTGAGTCGGGCACAACAGCGTTCTCGGCGTAACCGATAGCCCTTTGGTTGTCTGGCGCCAACTTTCCAACCGAGACGATCGCGGGTTCTCCTGGTAGATGCCATCCGCTAGTACGCGTGAAATTGGCTCCGGATATGAGTTCTCCCTTTTGCACATCAGGCGTTCGAGGAAATACGGGCTCCCAGACGTTTACGTAGTGCGCGTATTTGGTGATCCCTGAGTTCGTAAACTTGTGTCCATGGGCGTGCGGCGTGATGAGATCGGCAAGCGTCTCCGCCGGTTTCGTCCGGTCGAACTTGGTCTTGTCCAACGCCCACAATGAGGCATGCTCCGCCCTGTCGAACGCGTTCCTGTAGAGCGGGCGTTCACTGGCCGCCGGCATATGCGCCGATTTCTTCATTTCGTGATGGAGAATCGACACATACTTTCGGTGCAGCCACGGATGTCTCCTGTGGAAGGACTCCGGAGGAGATTGACGTCGATCGATATTCCACGTTAACATTAAAGGGGTTGATGTAGCTTCATATAACACACGTTAGGTTGTAACGCCGCAACATTAATGTAGTACCTCCGGTCAAACGCGGGAACAGGCGTAGGCGCAAAACCTATACCTAATGTATGTCGCTTGATACCCATATTACAGATAGATTATATTACGGAGGTTGCCGCGTGGTTTTAGTATTAGTATCGGTGGGCTAGGTGGTAAACGCGAGTATCCAGTTGCCCCGTTCACTTCTGCAGTGGTGAACTCGTAATGCGCGATTGCGCCGATAAACAAGGTGATTGGATCACTACCACCCACATGACCCTCCCTCTTCTTCCTTGTCGTACTCGTATGATTCCTGCGAACGATTATTACCTCGTTGCATAGTGTTCGCGGTGAGTCGAGCAATGTAGTAGTTAATTATGTCTTCCTTACTTCTGCCGTAACGCGACATTTGTCTCGCCATTTCATCCCAGTTTTCGTCATATATGTGATAGAGTCGTACGAAATCCGCAACCTCCTCCTCAGACCAATCCAGGACTGTCCCTTGTGCAGGTTGCGGAGCAACGCACGGTTAATCTTCTTCAGCACCTTCACTGTCATCGTAACCTTCCGCATTTACGTCCTGCACCTGTGCTCCTTCCGTACGCCTGGGGTTTCCCACGATGCGCGACACGTGACCTACTTTACGCGCCGCCAAAGCATGCGTATCAATGGGGTAATCGCTGCTGTTGTACGAGCCATCCATTGTTCGCTTTGACCCTATGACATTGTGCTTATATGCGTCATAACTCACGGGATCTTGTGCATCGTCTTCGTCGCTCAGAATCTCGTCCTGCGGTGTCGCAGGTTCAGACGTTGAATCTACCACCTCTTCCTCCTCGACGGAGTACTCTCGCACATTGTGCCTACGGTTCCAATTGAGTAATGGTAGGCCGTAAGACTCAGAAACGTTTGCATCGTTCACGTCGTTGTTTTCCGTAGACACCTCCTCCAACGCCACATCCATCCGAGTTTCCGAATAGGTGCGCTTAAATTGCATAACATGCGCTCGTCTTCTTGGCGCTTGCCGCTGCCGTTCAGCCAGAGAGTCCTGCATGACCGATTCCAGCACAGACCGCCCAGCAACCTTTTTGGAACCAGCTGACCTCAGTGACATGAAATGATCCGTTTTTGCAGCGCTAATCACAGACGACAGCTGCTGCGGATCACCGAAGTCGCGGCAGCCATTCATTACGAGACAACCGCGTCTTAGCGTAGTTTCAGCGTCGCTCGGCATTGTTTTCAACGGCAATTGCATGTTCTTGTGCGTTGTGAGGCACCTGAACTTCGTCGGAACGAAGTACCCCTCGTTCAAGTTTTCCAGCAAGGATTGGCTGGTGTCCTCCATCGGTGACCAGTTTCCACGGTGCTCGGTTAACGCCACATCACACGGCTTGAGAGTGTCCACTATCGCGGTGCCGATCAGATGATCGTTGACTGCTGTGAACGCAAAACTGTTCTGCTCACACAGACTTTTCACACTATCCGAGTAGCAATCGTCTAGTATGCTGTCAATGGCCTGCATAACATGCGTATCGCGTCTGACGAATCGTGACACATCGTATTTGTTTTTCGGTTTAGCCTTCATATCGTTGATCCGCTCCTTCAGCCTGAGTCTATACTTGTATTTGTAGTAGAACGTAATGCAATCGCTGCACGTTTTGTTTTCGATGAACTGCGCAATCTTCCCGAAGTTCTTGGGATACATGAGATACTTCTCAACGAATATACGGCACTCGTTGCGCGTCCATACGTTGCTTATGCGATCGTTAATTTCTTCTGCTAGCATGGACTCGTACGGGAGTGCATTGCACCTATCATACTGTATGCAATGGTCGAGCTTATAGTAGTTGTAATCTGGCGACGTCATGATTTGATATATTGGCAGTGTTTTGAAGTTTGGCATACGTTGCAGCGGGTCGCCCAAAGTGTCCATGCACGAATATGTCCATCGTAATCCAGGGCCTGTGAGATTGCTGTAGTTTGGTGCTAGCCACACAGTTGTTTTGTTCCCCTCATCCTCATTGTTATCAGTGACTGTAGCCTCTGGAGCCATACGCCTGCGGACAGCGCTTGGCTTTCTAGTTGTGTGGAACTGCTGATAGTTCGACATTTCGACTTCCTTATCAGGAGGCGCGCTTTGCGCCAGCGTGCTGAATCGTTGCTGTTTGTTGCGGATATCCCCAATGCCGTAGCCGTCAACTTCGAATGGCGACAAGACATTGTTGGTTCTGTAGGGCCAATTGATGTCATTTTGTTTATACCCTGCCGGCAGCGGTACAAAATTGTCGGGCTCATTTAGTGCTCTTACGGGAAGCACACCCACGCGAAATCATCTACCTTCGGCGCCGCGGCCTTCATACGTTTCAGGTGCTGGTGCCACTGGCGTCTGTACAGCTTGCACGCATGCGCTTCCTCGTTCAGGACTTCGTTGCGCACGAGGATATGCTCGCGCATGACTTGAAGCACCCTTTTAACGCAGAGCGGCACTACCATCATATCCCTCAGCACTTCGGAATAGGCCAACGTCTCCGACTCGCCATCCGTGTAATCGTAAAACAAATCCTTGATTATCGTCGGCGAGCTGGTATCACTGCCGAGTGTCGAGGCATCATCTGCGTACGGGGTAGTGGAGCTTTCGACCAGGGTTCCGGAGCCGCTGTTGCTGGACAGATCCTCGTATGCCCTGATATTGGTCGGAGTGTTGACTAGCTCATCCAGATGTTCCAATGTACCTATGTCCCTGGCTATAAAGCATTCATCCGGCATAACGTCATCGCTTTGTGTCGTCTCCTCTGAGTCAGGTGGACCGATACTGTCGACATCCTCCAATACGCCATAGCGACGTTCCACTTCAACTATAGGCACAAATTTGGGCAGCTGTGACATGATCTCTACTGTATCGATTGACTCGAACCGCCAGGGCATGATGCAGCTTGGCGCGTACGGCAGGTACAACGCTATTTCTACGTAATCTTCAGAATTCGGGTCATCAATGATGCAATCGCTATTCAACACAAGTTTTTCCCGTGTTAATTGCGAAACGTCGATCTCCATTGCATCAAAGCAATCCGTGAACTCATTGTTACGCAGGATACGATGGAGTTCCCGTTGCTCTTCCGCAAGTGCTTCCACGGCATCCCATAGCGTGAAACTACTAAGATCCTTAGATTCCTCGAGTTTTAACACAGGCGACTCCTGCACGTTTGCGCAACCTTCTGGGTCGGCATTGCGATTGGGCGTATCCGAAGGCCCATGTAAGATTGACGGCCTGTTACCACCTGACACGTTGCTGCCATGGCGACTTGGGGATTGGCTCGTGGGGGAAGTAGAAAGTGGAGTATTGTGTAATACACCGTTACCCGCAGTCTCGTTTCTTTGCTGTTCCCTTGGCGTAGCTCTCCCGCCGTCGGTATGGTTGGGTGACTCGCCGCTGTAAACATCATCGTTGGCCGTATCTGTTATAATATCCAGTTTGCATGCGAAGGGGCTGCGTTGTTTCCATGAAAGTGGTATGTACTCAGCTTTAACTCGCAAAATGAACCTCTCCTGTAGAACACCTTCTTGCGGCAGGTCCGGATACTCTGCATCCAGCATGTTCTCTGGGCATTCCATGTCGTGCCACACAATTCCACAATTACCCTCACGACGAACCTTGGAGTTATCACGAATCACCCTGTCGACCAGCCTTCGATCGGACAGGCAGTTGCACATACATACGCATTGCCCCAGCATCGATTCTAGCATGTCAGTTCTAGCGAGAGCGGTCTCCCTTTCGAAGCGTTGACCTTTCTTCACATCTGTGTTGCTCGATCCCGTATATATGGTACGCGTATAATCAGTAGCTGGCGTATCCCTGCAGGTGCCGCACCTTATACAGCAGATGTCATTATTGCAGGAGTGTTCGCTTGATCCTAGCCATTCGGGCTTTGGGATGCGCACTTCAGCGATGGCACTGTGGCAAACATCCTTAAGGAACTCGGCATAAGCGTCAAATTGCAGTTTCAGATTTGAATCTAAGATGGACCTAGCGAATTCAGGGTCGGAAGTCCATGGGCCCGTCTTGCCGAGGCCTTCCTCTCCGTCGGATTCCTCCAGGATTTCACCACTCTCTGCACCCTTAACATCATCCACAGTCGTAACAACATGGCCTCTGCTCTAAATACCATGCTGTGAAGCCCCCTCCCCATTTCCTTTCGGGGGAGGTAGAGCCGTTGCGTGTTCGCCCATTTCGCGTGTGCTTCCTTATCGGCTATTCTTGTACGCACTTCCAGGTCTATCCTGTTGAAGTACGTGATGTCCATGGGAATAACTCCCACGTAGTAGTTGATTACACTCAGGGCGTACTCGTTTATGGCCAGCGATAGGTTTTTCGCTGACAGCTTCGAAGCTGCGAGTAGCTCTACTCTCCTGCAGATCTCGTTCACGATTGTCTCGTACATCGCATTGCATTCAGTGATTGAGTGCCTGTTTTCCGTGACTCCTAGGTACCTGTACGTGTCTGGCCCTTCCATCATTTTCGCTATGCTCGCGCAAGCTTCCGTGTTAGTTGCAGATTTGTCGCGGTTGATCACGAATCCTGTATTTTTGAAGAATAGCTCCACTTCCCGAGTCATGCCGATAATCGTGCTCTCCTCGTGGGCGAAAATTTTTAGGTCATCGATATAGAGAAAGTGGTTTGTCGCGTAGACTCTGTCGCCTGGCACTTGTATCTCCACCTTAGGAAAAAGGCGGGTCAGGTGCCTGCTCAGTGGGTCCAGACACAAGACGAAGAGAAGGGGCGACAGGCTATCACCCTGTAGTATGCCCCTCTCGACTTTCTTGTGCATGAGAGTGTTGTTGTGCCACCTTATCTCTATATTCCACTTCTTCACCGTTTGCTTGATGAATAGTGATAACCACCCTGGCAAGTGCAGGTTCTCAATAACCTGTGCCAAGTAGTCGTGGTCGATGGAGTCGTACGCCTTCATGACGTCGATCCACACTGCGCGTAACTGTCCGTTGTGCTTCTCATTGAGCGCGATGTTCGACAACGCGTGCTCCTTCGCACCTGTACGTTGCTCCTCGTGCCTCTGGTTCTCGGACCGTAGTCCCTGCCCGCGACTTCGCGCTTTAGCCTCCGTTGCACACGGGTAGTTAGCTTGTATAAGTTAGACATGCACGTGATCGGCCTGTACTGCGAAGCCGATACTGGTTTGTTTCCTTTGGTTGGAGGTGGGTGATCCCACAGTAGAACCAGTCGTCTTGCGGTTTGCCGTACGAGCATGCCTCCTCCACTAGCCTGTAAGTGACTCTGTGCAGAGACGGAGCCACTTGATGTAGTAGGTATATATCCCATCCACCCCGGGCGACTTCCAATCCGGCATCTTCTTGAGGATCCTTAAGAATTCCTCGAATGTGGGAAAGCCCGTCACAGATTGTGCCGGCGGTCGTTCCACCAGGTATTGCGAACCGTTGTCCGGTGCTTTCGGCTTTACCCACATTTGCGCCCAGTATTCCTTCAGCGCTTCCTCGTTTATCGCCGTTTCGTCCACGTTCTGCTGCTTCTCCAACATTCTGTAGAAGTGTCCTCTGTACAACTCGAACATGCGGTTGTGGCCGTACATCTCCGTCTTGAACTTGATCTTCTTCAGCTTGTCGTACTCTTTCTGGAGCTCCTCCTGCGTCCTACTGATGACGTACGACAGTTCCTGTGGCTTGTCGGCAATCATGTTGTACTTGTCCATCTGGCGATAAACACGCTGTCTATCCGGTTTGTCGAGGTTGACTTTATTCTTGTACCGAATGAGGAGCAACCCCAACTCCTCCAGCTCCTTGATCCTTTGTTGAGCTGCTTCCTTCCTACTCGAGGTTCCCGGCGTTTTAGATGTCACGCTGTCGTAGCAATCCTGGGCCGTCTGATATAGGATGGCGAGCATCCCCATGTCAGTTACCGGGTTGTGCTCCAGGTAGTTGAATTACTACGTCCAGCGCTTTTATCGCCGCGAAGTCAAGGGAGCAGAGGGTGTGCTTCTTGTTCATTTCTTATGACACCCGGCTCCCTCAACCTTCTTGCCAAGATCTTGTTAAATTCCTGCGAGACGGCAACAAATGTGTCCGCGTCGTGGAGGGGAACTATTTCCCCGGCCTCCCTTGGCCTGTTCTTAGCTATTTTGAAGACCATTTGTTTCGCCATCTGCTCCACCTCCGCGGTGGTCTTGTGGAACTCGAATTTCTCGTTCGCAAATTCCGCGAGGACCTTCCATCCTCCTCTTGGCATCCTCCTGTATTTCGTCGCTACTGCCTTGTATACATCTACTGCCCAGTGACACCATGGTCCGTTGATCTGACGCATGACACAGTGTAAGAACTGTATCTTCGCGTTCAGCCTGCCGTAGTTTAACGGCATTGGCGACGTGTTCCCGACCCATACAGCTTGGGGGGCTTGCCCTTCGGGTGCCCTTGTCAACGCAGCCGGCTCAGCGAGAGGCACCTCACTGGCGGTGCCTGTTGCTATACTGTTGTTTGTTTCATCTACAGGCCCGACTTGCTCAGGTTCCTCTTCGTCCACATCCATAAAGTCATCAGACAGGATGGAATAGACGGACGGAGAGCGGCATATGCCACCATTTTCATTCGTGCCTCCTGCTGGTGGCTGCAGGTTAGACACCTGCACACACACGGGCGCGCGTTCGGTCGAACTCGGCACTGCGTGGCTGCTTGCGGCAGACGGCCTATTGGCCTTTTTGCCCGCCTTTTTGGGCTTAGAGGTGTTACCCTTTTTACCCTGGGGACCGCCGTTTCGCGCCTTTTTAGGGGCGCCCTGCACAGCAGGAGTGGTTCCAGGCTGGCGACTTATCTGGCCCTGATGCGGACTGAGGCGGCTTTCGCCGCCACGGCCGGGCCCGGCAATTTCCCGGATTTATTTTTTCGGTAACTCTCCACCGCTTTTTACCGGCCTTCCGGATTCTTGTTTCCGTTCTGTCGGCTGATTCTGTCGGCGCCCCACGGAAGCATGCGACGCGTCGGTGTCTATCCTCTCTGGGACGTCCACGTAGATTATCTGTACGAATACGGCTATATCTATGAAGCCTATCAGCTAATCATTTATGATCTTGCCATTGGCATGCTTGTTGTCTAGATGCCTGCACTGTGACAGCGGAACGCCTCGTCGTGCGTCCGCTTTAAAACCACATGTTTGACCGTCGACACACACCCCATTTAGATCAGAATAATTTTTTTGTGTAAAAGCTGCAATACATGTTACGTGTCATACGCCATGCATGAACAGATTAGACGATATTTCCAGTGTTTTTCTTCGGTATGTGAGACCCAATGTAAAGATTCGTCCACATGTCAATGTCCATGTTGTGAAAAGAAACGCAGAGGCGTTGACACCTATTTCACCGCTTGCAGCATCGGTGCCATCATCTCCATCCTGCTTGTGGTAGTATGCTCAATGATAACAATTCGCATCCAGCCCTTCCACAAAGTCCGCGATTATTTCGTCCGCAAGTGAACGTTTTGTATCGCATATTTTCAGCCACTCCAACAATTTTTATAATCGCACTTATCGCACAGTCCTAGAAGGTAACGGCACGATGCCAAAGTAATACCGTCTTATGTAATGTTTTGAAAGCGTGCATCGGCAACAAGTACCCGGTGAACGTTTCCATGAATCACATTGTAGCAACGCATCAGGTGCGCATTAGTTAAAATAGCGGGAGCAACACAGCTCAACGTAGTGTCCACATCCACTCGCACCGCAGGCCGCTTGCGTCGCGCAGGATCGCTGCCCTCAGCAAACAAACATATTTCTCACCGTGATCTCGACGCTTCTCACCACCTTAGCGACAATCGGCACTCTGATGATAACACGCCTAGCACACCAAGCCATCCAACAACCGCCGTGATTTCCTCACTAACTTTGGTACACGGTCACGGACGCTCCTCCAACAACATCTCGTAGCTTCACGTAGTCAGCATAGTTTCTGTATCGATGACACATCAATTGCCATACTACTAGTGGCATATGCCTTTCGTGTGTAGGTAGAGTGCCTATGGAATTGCTGTGCAAACTAATTTTTAATTTTGCTTTTACATTCACCACCCTCTAGACCTCATACGTCCACACCCCACATGATCTGTTTTTCCCAAACGTTAAAGGTAAGATGTCTCAAAACAACCAAGAACCACTTTCCTACGTCACGAATTCATACCCTAATTCACATCCACCCCTATCTGTTTGACCACATGTTACGCCATCGTCCTCACTCCTTGTCACCACCCATCCTCCACCTGCGACACTGTTTTCACCTCCCATAAATCAGATCGACAAGCACTTAGCCGCCTTGCAATGTTCCATGCAACACTATTAATACCTAGCTCATAAACAAACATAGTATCACTGGCAAAACTTTAGATCCATCATTCAAAACATGCTATATTTATGTTTTCAATATCTTCGCCAATGTTGTTAACAAGGCAAAAGCAAGGACGTAGCGATGACGATGCGAATGGAAAGCTTTAAGGACATGTTCAAAGTCTGAATCTGTGGAATGCTTCGGCCGAGGATGTTATCACCAAGGCGGATAAGAAGTGTGATCAGATACTTAAGAAAGTTAAGACAACAAATGACGTTGGTGAAGATAAAATTTATAAGTTAGCTGATAAGTTACAAAAGGAGGGTAATAGACTTTTGGACGCTGCGCAAAATGCCAAGTTGGCTGTTGAGGCTCAAGTAAAATCAGCGTTGGAGGCTGTTGTGGAAATGGACTCGGAGCTTAAGAGGGATTTGAGGAGTGTGAAGGATAAGATTAAGGATAGGATAAAAACTGTGATTGAGGATTCGGAAGTTGAGAGTTTGGATCAGAAAGTGCAAGAGGATTTGGGGACGTTGAAGGACAAGATTAGTGAGCTTAGAAACAATATCAATCCGCCTGGTGGTATTGTTCGAAATGAATTAGATGCGCTTGAGAAGGCGAAGACACAGTTTGAGCAGGACACTAAACGAATCAAGGATGAGACGGATGGGCTTGATAAAAAGTTTGATGAAAGTATCAAGGAACCGCTTGACGAAAAAGTCCAAGCAGTTGACTCGGCGATTGGGACGCTTGGCGGGAATTTTAAAGGGCTAAACTCAGATGAGCAAAAGAAACTTGAAAAGATTTTCGGGCATATTAAAACAAAGGTTGGGGAGACTAAGGGGAGTAAGGGAACGCCACAAAATGGTTGGCAAATTAATGGTGCCACAGGTCTTGAAGGCATCGCACAGGGAGTGGAGCATTATTTCAATTTTTTCCACGGTGACTTCGGCAAAGCAGTCACCGGCTGGCTGGATGATATCATGCGTAATAACGGTCTGGTTAAAAAGCTGCTTGGGTGGCAGGATAAGGCGGCGCAGACGCTTGATGATTACATGAAGAACACTAATCTCGGAGGCTTTATTAGGTCTCCCATTAATGACAAAATTACCGAAGCCGGTGCAGCG